CAAAAAAGGGGAAGTAAAAAGCAGCTTCATCGGGCTCCAGGCATCTCCAGGACTTCAGCCGAGGGCGAGTCAGCGATAAATGGTAGAGAAGCTTCAGGAGCGGGCTGGGGAAGAACTTCGGCGGCAGGAACAGCTTCAACCGTTTGAGCAGCTTGAGGATCAGAGGCAAGGTCCGATGGAGCGTCCTCGGACAAGTCCACTATCACCATCTCGGGAGCATCAGCCGAGGTCTGCATCGGTGTAGGGGCGTCATCCTCCGCAGCAACTTGTGCTTCTGCCTGCTCCATCTCTGCCGAGGGCACATAGTTGTGCACTTGGAAGAGTGGGGAGTCTGACGGGACTCCGGCAGCCTGGAGCGCCTCGTCCCACCCTTTCTTAAAGAACTCTTTGCTGTTTTCTTCAAGGGCGGGGAGCACGTCGTCGGCAAACTCCTCCAGAAGTTGTTGCTCCGATTTCCGGGTCAGCTCCTCGGCTCTGATCCTATCTAGCTCCTGGGTAAGGGCCAGACAGCTTTCCTCGGAGCCCACTGCCCTCTCCTCCGCCGCCGAGAGCCGCTGCGTTTGCTCAGTAATCCTCCTCTCAGCATCGGCAAGTGCGGCACTTAGCTTCTCAGCGCCCGACTTGGCCGATTCAGCGTCCTTGAGGAGTTGCTCTATCTGGGCAGCCTGCCCCACCAGGGTGGAATCCCTGGCAGCTACATCTTCCGTTGCCCGAGCAAGGGCAGCTTCCGCTTCAGCCTTCTGATCCTTGGCCCTCTGAAGGTCCATCCTGGACGCGTGGTACCGGCCAGCTATGATAGAAATCTGCTGGGCAGCCTGTAAAAGAAGGAAAGAATGTTAAAACACAAAAGTAGAAAACAAGAGTGAAGGGGTCGAAACGGGAATAAACTCACCACCAGGGAGTTCTGGATCATGGAGCGGAACAACACGTTGGTTGATCGCCCCCGATGAGCCTCCATGTCGGCCTCAAAATGCAATGTCTCACTCACTGCATAGGCGACATGGGGATCCTGCAGAATGGAATCATCGACCCTGATCACTCGGTTCATGTGATCAGTAGCCCGAGGATTCCACACCGCGGCCTCCACTGTGGATGGGAGGGAAGGAGTAGCCTGTTGCTGTTGCTGCTGCTGCTGCTGTTGTCGGGGCTGCTGTTGTTGCTGCTGTTGTCGAGTTTGCTGCTGCGGTTGCTGCGGTTGTGAGGGAGTAGAGGGTAATCCACGATCCCTCCCGCTTTGCTGCTGAGCGGGAGGCACCCTGGGTCCTCGGCTGAGGCCATCGTGCCGATGCTTCACCCTCCTCTCCTCCTCCACCTGAGGGTCCCGATCTCGCACCTGACCCCGATCAGGAACCCTTGATGATGGGGCAGAGCTGGTTCCTGCCGGAGTACCGCCGGCCGTCCCTCGACCTCTCCCGGCCGCGAGGGATTGCCTCTGCCTAAGAAACCCCAAATTGATGCGTGGGGTGTTGGACATCGCTTCCTCGAGAGCGTCTTCGACGTCCAAGTTTGGAGAATTTGAAAATCCGGCCACAGGTCGCCTCCCGAAGTCCCCACCTCGGCGTCCGAAGGGGCAACGTCCTCTCTGACCCCGACCTCAGCAACTCCTTCTACCTCTCCCTCTGAAGCCCGATCCGGGTCTTCTTCCAAGTTCTGCTCGACCTCTAACCTCGCCGCCTGATCAAAGAGCTCTGACCACTGTGAAGGCTCGAAAGGTTGAGGGAGCTGTGAGAACTTCTTATACCCGGGGGTATAGTGCAGCAAATTATGGGCAGCTCGGCCAAATCCGTCGGCACCCGTGAAACTCCAAACCGTTGTTAAGTCGCCAAAATTGACCAGCGACCGAGGGGGTGGAGCTGTTTCCCGAGAAGGAATACCTGCACAAAAAAAAAAGATTGTCATAAACACGAGAAGTCCCAAGAAACAAATAAAAATACCCAAAGGAACCGACGTACTTGTCGTTCTCCATTCCCGAGGGCAAAATAGGTCATTGTACTCGGGACCGACACCCCTCTCCCAACATCCCTTGAAGATCAAGATGTCGTCCTTGTACCCCTTGTCCGAGTCGGGAAGATGGGTTACAAGGTACATAGAGGGGTCCCTGGCTTTGAGGTAGAAATGTTGGTGGGGCATGACTCTTAGGAGAGAGTAACAGAAAAGGAGGTCATTGAGCCCAATATTCACCCCGAGGCGCCTATTGAGCTCTAGGACCCCCATAATTATCCGAAAGACGTTGAGGCAGCATTGCCCGGGGAAGAGACGGAAGCGAGACAGGAACTGAAGAAGCAGGGGGGGTAAAGGAAACCTAATGCCACCCTCTATGATGGCCTTGGTATAGAAAGGCATGGCATCCGTGGCCCCGAAGGTAGGAGAGTACAACAAAGGGTTAAAACCCACTACGTCCACGCTCGGAGGGATGCCATACTTCGCCCTGAACCTATCAATCTGTGCCTCGCCTGTCACCTTGTATTTCCCTGACCCCGAGGGACCAGCCGATGGATTCTCGGGAACAGGGCGACGACGAGGCATCTCTAAAAGAAAGGGAAGAAAAAGGTGCTCTCTTGAAAACCCGAGGAAGTTCCCCGAGGGTTTAAATCGAGACGTACCGACCGGATGACACCACTGTTCAAATCGGAAAACAAGAAGACTAGGAGGACGATAAAGAAGAAGGTTGTGAAACTCACCAGAAGACGTCGGAAACGGAGTTTTTTCAGGAAAAACTTTGAAAAATGGCTCGCACCGGAAGGACCAGGAGTCAACAATGGGTTTTACTGGCTGAGGTTTTAAGAGAAGATGCTGTCAACAATGGCTGAGGAAACAAAAACTCCGGCGAGCAGATCAGAAAGGGCGTATTCTGGGTCAGAGATCGGAATGGCAAAACGAAGGAAACCGGAGAAGAACCCCCTTTATATAGGGGGGAAACTGTCATCATTGGGCGGGAGAACCAAAAACAGCGCATTTAATGCGCACGACATCCCAAGACGGGGAAAGCTGCTCGAGGCCATAATGAAGGACGGATGGCAGTTGGAAAAACCCTTCGTCTCCTGACAACGCGTGTCCTCGGTGTCAGAAGATCGAAGGCTGGGGGGCAGTTGATGGGACTCTTCTGAAAAGCCTACGATGAAGACACGTGTCCTCGGGGTTTTCGAACAATGTTGCTCGGGTTCGAGCACCATCGGCAAGGCGTCCTCTCCCCGAGGTACCTCTCATATAGGATCACATATTCGGTACATTTATACAAAGACATGTGTCCTCGGTCACCATGTACCTCGGGAACACGCCACCCCCTTGGTCCCCGAGGTGAGCCTTTCCTCGGCGCCGAGGGTCACTCCATCCTGGACGCTTCCTCTACTCCCGGATAGAGCTACTGACATACTGGACATCAGCCTATGCCAGTATGGGTTATTCATCATGACCTCTTCTTACACAAGTAATGTCAGAACGTTCTGGAATACCGACGTAACAGCCAATAAGGGATGGACGCGTGGCAAATAATGTCACATCCGATGCAGACAAACCGCATGCCGTTGCTGACACGCGACTTGGGAAAGCAAACCATTAATTGCACCCTTCTGTTGACGAGACCGCATTCAATGCGGTAAGGTTCGGATATGAAAGGCAATAAATGCTCCTATTACAGAGCATTTATTGCATCCTTCCCGACAGGAGCATATTGTACCGTCGGCGTCCCGACAGACTCAGCATTGATTGTTCGGGACCCCGAGCAGTCAATTAGAGAAGACATTCCTCATCAAATGATTACGCACGCTATCTGTGCCTGATGATTACCTACTGACCACACTGACAGCAATCATGATCTTCTAAGGTATAAATACCCCTCCCAAAAGACAAAGCGGGGAGGGCAATCTAAAACTCTCAACTACAAAATATCCTTCTCAGTGTTTTCTCCTTCCTCTCTCTCATTCAAAGACTGACTAGACCGTCGGAGGGGATACGCCGGAAAACACTCCGGCGCCCTTCTAACTTGTTCTCCTTTGTTCCAGGAAATACCTTCCACACGTACAGGATCGTTCCTCCTTTCCCAGGATCACCCTTGGCCGTTTCCGGTTGCCACCGTACCTTGTAGGCTGTTTCAAGCAGCGTGTTTGGCTACTCAACCGGCTCACCCAAAGTTCACCAGGGGAGAGATCTGTTCCCAATATTTTATATATCGTGCAGGATCGAGCCCGCACAGCTTCCATAACATGGGTGGTAAATCTCATTCAATCCTTGGATTCATACTCAATTTTAACTATTTTTTTTTAATGATCAGTGGTATTCGAATCAGTATATACGTACCGCGGCTATTTTCTTCTCAATAGGATCAAAAGTAAAATATTCATGACGGGACTAAGATATTCATAAGAAATAGAGTTAACAAAATTCAAATTCAAGACATCTAAATTTACAGTTCGTCCCTTATTAGACTCCATTCTACTATTTAGATTTACTGTTAATCAACGACAATAATGGATTAAACTAGTAAAATAAGACCAAGTAACATCATTTGATAAAAATAACTTTCAAAAGAGTTTATGGGGTTCATTATCAGATTTAATTTACTAATTTAATCTACTGACATAATCAAATTTTCTCCAATAACCTTTTACTTCAACTTTTTTGTTTTACCATAGTGTATCCTCTTTCGCTTTATATTGAATTGTCGCTCTATATTTATAATGAATCACATCTAATATCAAAACTTATTGCTAATCCAAATCCAAATATAACACTTTATTAAATCAACGACATAGATTAGATTGGTGGTGAACGCCATCAATGTTCAACCCATCAGATCCAAATATAACAATTCATTAGATCAACGACTTAGATTAGATTAGTATTGAACGTCATCAATGTTCGAATCCATCCGATTCAAATATAATAATTCATTAGATCAACAACTTAGATTCGATAACACTTACCCAAAAAAAAAAAAAAAAAACTTAGATTCAACAAATTTTAATTTGTAATTCCAAAACTAAACAAAATGCCAATCTCACCTGTCAAGTCACCGGCATAGATCTCCTCACGAGGAACAAACACAGGCTCTTTCACTTCATCTATGCTATCCAAACTCTTATCATTTCCATTGCATTTCTTTAGAAAAATCTGATTTCTCTTCAGACCCAACTTTTCCTTCCACCGACACGAATTCTTCGGCAGTCTCGGCAACACATGTTCATAATCACCATCATCTTCGACAAGTAGCTCATCTCTCAGAGTCATCTTCGCACAGTTATCCTTCAATGGCAGCAACTTCCCCTTGAAGAAAAGCTCATCGGCGGTGATCATTGAGTCGCCGGAGACGGAGAACTCGAAATCCGACGAGACCGGTGCTTCTCTGTAGATCGTGTCGTGCTTGGTGATTTGTTGTTGGGTATCGGAGAAGTCGCTGGAGAAGGAGATTCTTGGACCCAAGGAAGTGCAGATGGCTTGTTGATCGTTGTTGAACATGTTTAAACATGCCATTTGCGTTTAGAAGAACAGTCAATCACTTGCTATTTGTTTCTTCTGGTTTCACCGTAAGACCTCACATGGAAGATGCGAGTATTTATACAATGGGGTCCTTGTTTTAAGTGAGTGCCATCAAAACAAACTGACACCACACATTCCACCCCCCGCGGCGCCCCCAAAAAGTAAAAATCACCCCTTTCTTGTTTGTTTTTTTTTTTTTTTTTACGTGAAAAGTGTTTGTGTGAATTTATGTGTACATCTCCATTAATAGGTCCAAGGCAATTCATATATATCAAAACTAGAATCTTTTATAATTTAGTCCTAAAAAGTTATTAAAATTCAATTTTATAACGTTTGAATTTATAACTCATTCCTCTTTATTTTCCTTCCCTTTCATTTTCTTATATTTGATTAATTTATCATAACAATTAACATATGAATAACAAAATAATATAAAATAATTTATATGTTTTTTATTCTTTTTGAATGCTATAAAGAGAGGTATTCCTCATATAGTAAAAAGTAATTTTTATCGATTTATCCGGTGTTTCTAAGTTGAAGATTTGAGTGTAATTCTCATATGGTGCTTATTGATTCTTATTCCCTTAGTCTAAGAAGATGAACCTATATAATTTAGCAATAATATTATTTGAACTTAATTTACTAACATAATTTTAAAATATTTATAAATCATTATAATGAAAAAGAAAGGAAGAATTTTCTGAAAGTTTGGGGTACGATGGTCATGACACACCTCTCCTTAAGATCCATCATGGGGCACCCCCACTATAACTTACCATTATTAAACTTAAGTAGCCATTTCAAAAGTTTTCAACAAACTATAAATGTGAATTATCTCGGGGGTTAAATCAAATTGATATCTCTCTCAATTACTTTCACACCGAAAATTATTCAAGGAGAATTTTGAATTATTGTTCAAATATTGATCTATCTTAGTTTGACATTATTTATGCATTAACAGTGTTTATAAAAGTTAATATTTTTTCTAATCCAACTCAAACTATAATAACAAACACCGAACTCAAGAGAATAATTGACACAGAGTTTGGACACCCTATAGAAAAAAAAGAAGTTATTACTTAACCCTTCCTTACCCCCTACATTTGGTTTCGTGTGATCGTAATCAAACCCCCAATAATGCCTTCCCCAGATCAGATCTCTCCGTTGCAGCTAGCTAGTTAGCTACATTGCTTTGTTTTTAAGTTCCAAAATGGAGATGCCAACTAATCCACGAGTTACCATCACTACTTTTAAGACTAATTGGATGACTAGGGAAAGGCAGTCAAAGACACAGTTGTGCAGAACATGGGAAGCATATGCTCTTGGAATTTATGTACAAGCCACTTCTTAATATGATATCTCCACAAGTAATCAGCAAAATCTCCTGATCACAGACACATGCATGCCAATTATTATTTTTCTAGTTCAATGGGGTATTTAGGTCAGTTTACGCGCACTTCGATTAATCCTTTCTTTGGTCCAGTCCCAGTCAAAGATAGATAATTTATATCGACACTAAAGTATTCATAAAAGATAAATCTATCATAACCTAACCTCAAACAATTAACAAAATTTGACCTCAAGACGTCTAAATTTATAACCCACCGATGTTAGTACTTGAACTACCCTTTGATAATACCAATTATAGACTTAAAGTTACAGCTAAAGCTCATGTGTAGTTAGCTTTTCTCACTGATTGACTATTCAGAAAGACAAATAAGACCGAGTATTGGACTGACTAAATAATACGCGTACAGTCAAAGGATTCCACTTACCTTGAATCATACTACTGACTCTCACATGGTTCATCCTCTTCTCAGGGAATTTCGGCGGATTGCTAACTGGCATTGTGACAAGTGGCTGATTCCTAACACTACATCTGTAAAAACTCTTCGGGGAACTTGACAGAAATTGGACCAACCTCATGAGTCATGACCAAGGGGAAAGACGGTTCAACAAAATTGATCAAACATAACATGTTGGGAACGATTCTAATTTCCTATGTAATAGCGAAAAAAAACTTTCGGCGCAGTCACATTTCCTGTAAAAACGTATCTTTTCTTAATGAACAAGTAGAATAAAGCATGGTCTAAGGCCTTGTCTACTTTTGGTCTCCCATCCTGTAAGCAGGCTTTGTCTGTACGTACTAATAATTTAAGAACCTTCTATTTCTTCTATCACATTTGAGTTCTAGGCATGTTTTCCAATGTCAGATCAAGGGAGAGCTCCGGTGCTATGAATGTTGCCATATCCTTTGAAGTATTCCCTCTATCCAACATCATGCAATAGGAATAAGAGAATCTGCCAAACTTATGGAATGACTTACACCAATGCATTTGTCTTCCTAAATCACAGGCATATATATATATATATATATATATATATATACCTAAATAGCCATCAATAGAGACAGAAGCCTTGTAAGTGCTCAAAGTCTCACACAATGCTTGCTCAACTCTTGCTAAGTCAAGTTTGGATCCTCTCAATTTCAAAATGTTCTAGGTTTCGGTTAGCTCTTAAACTCATTTAGTTTCAAAGAGGCTCGTCAAAACCTATCACTGGAGTCCAATGAATCTAAAGATGGATGCTTGAACTAGATCAAACTTGCCAATTTTAAAATTGAGATGATCTAGCATCTTTAACTAGTTAATAACCACATGTTCATGTGAAACAAAAAAATAATAATTTGAAATACCCAAAATTTACTGAAAATCATCATCACTGACGCAGTCAGGAGACAATCTTTTTTGGGGTAATTGATTTGCAAGAGAGAGTTTAGGTTTCAATGCTACATGAGTTTTAGAGAGTGCAGGTTTCAATGCTACATAAGTTTTACCTTCTGTTACTTTTGTAAGCGGCCTTTGCAAATGCTTGAAAGAAGCAGGAAATGGGCCCCCAATAGAAATTCCATGGGAAGAGATTGTTGGAAGTGAGGGTTGACGTTGAGACGGTAACATGAATTTCCGTGTTAGATTTTCCTTTGAAGTGGTTTGGTTCTTGTTTCCTTCAACTAGTTCTACCATTGGCCTTACCTTTGATTCAACTGGCACAAGCTTGCCATCTACTTGATTAGTGAAAGCAAAGGAGACCTGCAACAAGAACAATATTGGAGTTTTATGTTAGTCCAACCTCCCTCTGGTGAGATAAAAAATAACAATTAATCAAAACGCATAGAATATGATTACTCATATTCAAGGTGAAGTGCATGCAATGATTTTGTTTTTCTTACTACTGAAAATTATGTAATTCTTCACACAAGCAGGCAAGCTGATATATTTACATTTTAAATGACTGTTGGCAAGATTTTGGAAGGGTTTAAGAGGGGAAGTAGTGGATGTTTAATGCATCACAATTCAAAAGCAAAAGATGGTATAATTGATGTGTGGTTTAATGTGCATCACAATTAAGTGGACAAGCTAGTTCAACTATTACAGGAATACTCTAAATATGCTAAACATGATAAATTGCAATCTTATTGTGAGTGGACCCTAATATGTGGTAACTCTTAACATTGGAAACCTATCAAACCCTGATGAACTTGGCTTTGAATTTTAATTGACATCCTCCCTGAAAGTGAAAATGAGAAAAATCCAGCTTCACTGGAAATTTTTAATTTCTCGGCACACCTCATCTCCGGCTGAAGCTTGAAAAATAGCATCAGGTACTGATGTGGGGAAAAATGATGCCCCCAGTTACCTAAATCTTCTTCTTTCGGGGTTCCCACCTAGAAAAAGAAAAGGATCATAGCTTCATATAAGAAAAAAATGCCACTTAAACAAGAATTTTGGTGCCAGTGCATATAATATAATCACAAACCTGTTTCTCTGAGCTTTTTAACTTATGCAAGCACCCAGCCATGCTCGCAAATCCCCCTATATCCTCCTGATCCGCCTGACAGTCTTCATTTGTTGATTTAATTTCCCCTACCTCATCTATATTCTCAAACCGATCATCTAGCATTACCTCATAGTTTTGGCAACGGTTGCAACTCATCTTTTCATGAATTTCAGATCTATAGACAGTGTCCATTAGAAAAGACACTATTAACAAAGATGAGTAATAAAACTATATTTCTAGACCCCATTTAATTAGAGCATGTATTGAAAGGTTATGGATGGAGCATGTTTCAATCCACGGTTTGAAAGCAGAACATGAAAAACAGTAGGAAAGCTGGATTTAAAGGAAGAAGAACATCATAATTGTTTCATTTCTGTACTGTCATAATACCAGCTAATCAGGAGAAACACTAGTCCTTTATTCGACGAATCATTTATAAACATTGCATAACAGCTGGAGCTCCTGGAACTAGCCTAAAAAATTGTCTGACACTAACCAACTGAAGGAAACAAATTATGAACTTCAGAAGACTGTAAATCAGTATGGTTGCATTGGATGTTTCAGAGTTCTAATCATTGTTTCTAGTGCATAAGACATCAACCGTGCATACGACATGATTGCCATCAGTAATAGCATATCTAATATTCAAACATAAAATGTGCTTTGAGAGAGAGAGAGAGATTTATGCATCAAGGCTGTAAGTTGCCTTAGAAATTTTCACAGGCTTGAACATAAAAATAATCCTTTTTACTCCTATTTACATAAATGAGAAACCATGTACATGTAGAGCCATGAAAACCTTTCCCTTCACCTGCTCATTCATCATTAAATTGCTTTCATACAAAGATGACTTCGCACTAATGCTTTCGATAGTAGATATTAAATGAGTGCACACCTGATAGTATCATGAAATGTGAACAGGTCACGTAAATCTTCTGTTGAAAGAAAGTTTCCCTGCAATTAGAACTCTTGATTTTAGACCTTGAAGAGCACTGCCACATATAAGACAGGAAGAAAGCAGCAAAACGGGTACCTGGGTCTTAGAATCTGTCTGTTCCTGCTGAATAACCTTTTGAAGCCCTTCCTTTGACATCTGACGCTGGTACACCTGCCGAAAAATTAAAATAGTGCATCTGTTGAGCTTAAGGTGGATCACTACAGATGGACCACAGAGCATTATGAGTGCAATAAACCAAGAAAGTATTGTTTTGGCTAAAGATACTGCTACATCAAACCTTTTCTTCAATGGTTCCAGTACTCAAAAATCTATAGATGTATACTCGCTTCTTCTGACCATCCCTCCAGACCCTTGCAGCAGCCTGCATAAGTGTTAAAAGAGAACAAAATTCTATCCTAAGCAAAATAATGTTCCTTTTACGACTGACATCACAGCTTTATGTGCAAAGTCTAGTGAAATGATTACTTGTTTGTCATTTGCCGGGTTCCAGTCAGGATCAAACAAGACCAGTCGGTTTCCACCAATCAAATTGAGGCCACAACCTCCAGCCTTGCTGCTCAAGAGAAACACGAACTCATCCTGAAGATGAATCATTAAACTTGCTGCTCTCAATACATATTGTCTTAAGAGGTGAGGACATATAACAGGTAATGATTCGAAGGACAGACAATCTACATACCTTTGATGGATCATTAAAATGGTTGACCAACTTTTGCCTTTTACTAATTGAAGTAGTTCCATCAAGCCTTAAGAACGGATATCTTCTTTCACGACACAATTGAGCGAAGAGGTCCAGAGTCTGGTGAATCACAGCTATTATATTTAACACAAAAAAGAGAAGTATCGACTGCAAGTTTCATCACTGGTAAAAAATACAAGTAACTGCTTAATAGACAGGGGATCAATTAACAACAGGGTTCGATAATTTATCCCCAGAAGTCAGAATCATTATTTGTCATGCACGCCATACCACTGACCATAAACAATTGACAAGATCCGTGGAGACCCTGAACTAGAGAATCAATGAAAGACAGACGATTTATGAAGCAGAGTAAAGAGTGGATATAAGTGATTGAAAAAAGATCCATATCCTAACAATGGGAACTTGGCATAACAAATGCAAAGTACTCGGAATATACAATCATGGATAACGATGAGAACCCATCTTAATACCTGTGTGTAATTTGAGACTAGGACAATTCGGTCATCTGTTCTCTGACGGAGCTGTGCCAGTAAGCGGGCTAAGACATGCATTTTCCCTGATAGTTCAACCCAAAGACCATCACCACCAGTCCTTGATCCAGATCTAACAGAATGCCAAACATTAGTAATATGATTTTTTTTGGGTAAGTTTCTTAATATGAAATTCACGGACAAGAAACCATACACAACAATATAATCACAAATGGCCTACCTTCCAGAGAACATTTCTGGAGGAAAAATGTGCAAACAGTCCTCAAACGCTGATGTTCCTGGATTCCCACTTCTTATTGTGTCATATATCAGCTTCAGCATATATTTATTTCACATGAGTTCACTGGTTTCCGTATCTTACACAGAATGAACATAAGAAGCAAACACATTTAAATGCTGATATCTATACACACATATCTATGTTGTGCATATATATTTCCCACTTTGTTTTCTAGTTGCTGCTGCCAAATGAACCAAATGTTCCCCAAATATCAGCATTGTGAATCATTCTGATGCATCTGTGCATCTGCAAGAGTTCATATCTAGTGAAAATTGTTTCTGTAGAGGTGCAAGTGCAACACAATTCTCTTCAATTTGAATGCTTATATTTTGTTTACTACAAAATGTTTCTTCATTGGAAAAGTGACACAAACAAAAATAACTTTCAAAAATGAATCAAATTTTGTAAGAACCTTGACAAAATTCAGAAAAAAAAACAATAAAAATGGAAACAACCAACTATAATGACCTTGTTCCTTTCTTTTAGGGAGTAATATGTGTTTCATCTACTGTCTTCACACTCAATTCAACTCAAGTCCCAACTGAATGCACATAGGTTGAATGCAGGGGTTTATCCTGATTCTCAAAAAGGATTCTAATCCGAAATCTCTCATTAATCATCCCCACAAACCATGCTTTCATTTCATCCTGGCAGTTCCTTCAGAAACTAATGCATGTCATATCATGGGTGGCCGAAAGGTTACAGCATCCTCAAAATATTTGTATCTATTCTCATTCCATCAAGGAAAGTTTTGCTGAGCTACACTTAGTAGAGCACATATAAAACTTCTCCAAAAATATTTTGCAATGTAAATAAATATACGTGAGGCTATGGATGCACCTTTTTCTCAACTCTTAGGTAAGTTGAATCACATAGAGGAAAATTCTAACTCTAAGGAATACTATACTTCCAAAATGTTTTACCTTTGGATGGTTGCAGAGCTTCTTTAAAGCTGTTATGTAAGCTAAGATTTTTGATTTCTTTGTCTCTTCAGTAATTGCTTGTTTAACCTGTATTTAGGAGTAAAAACAAAAGTTGAAGTGTCAAGTATACCACTTTTGGTCAGAAACTTTTGCACCTTTAAATGCATAGTCAATTTGGAGGACTTCGAATTTACATTTTTTGAGTGAATAAAATGATTGTAAAGTGCTGACTGGAGAGGAGTCAACTTGCAACAAACAACTTCAATTATCTGCAGGAGCAATTACATTTCAGAAGTGGTGAATTGTAAGTATTTAAACTGTTAATGACAACCATAACTGGTCAGCACAAATGGACAAATTCTATTTTGATGCGTAAAAAGAAAAGTCCCCTGAGTGAACCTTCTTTTTGGACAACTTAAAGTGAAATTTAAATTCATTGGTGCAATGCACATACTCCCCTCTCCAAACCACTGTTCCAATAGCCAACAAGTTAAAAAGTCGGTCATTAATCCAAACAACACAGGGATAAACACAACAAAGGATGGGTACAAGATACTGTGTGGGGCAAAACCTTTGAGTGATAACAGAACAAAAATACAAGTTCAACAAAAGAAATTCAAACTTTAAGCTCAAAGCATTGACCATTTATGCAGCAATAATGATCAAGTTGAAGATATTTCTCAACAAAATTGTTGTCAAGCACTCTTACATATACTTCAAAGAGGTATTGAGAACTATTAAGCGTATCATGCACAACTGCCTTGTTGAAATTTAACTTCACTACTGTACCATCCATAACCGCACACAACACAACTGATATAAACAAAAATTTATATAAAGAAAAAAAATAGGTAGTTTCCAAGCAAAAACTTTTTGCTCCATTAGTTAAATAAATCCTGGAGGCGAGCTGATATGTTGTGCTATTTATGCAAGATCAGAAGAATACAAGGGAATCACAGATTAAGATAATAACCCTACCTTCGGTGGTAAGTGATTTGACAGCAATACATTAGTCCTCCTCAATATAAACTGAAAACACAACATCATGGATCAGGTCCAAAGAAGAACACTTTGTTTAGAAGTGGAGAGCAAATTGCATCCCAGAGAACAGTGTTCAGGGCCGGCATGCTTTTTGATCACAAACTATGGAAATCAGCTTCTAGAATTGCATCATATTCAGATAGACAATTACCTGATTTACTTTTGCACTTAGTTCTGCAGAACGCTCAGCACCTAGCTTCTTCTCTTCTGCAGTGGCAGTAGGTTCTCTACCACAAATGATGGGTGTCTTCATAAGGGTAAACCAACAAAATCAGAAATGGAATAGTGTACCATACAGGCTGACAGAGTTAATTAGTGTAAGTCTTGGTAGTAGTAGTTCAAACTATATATTTCACATCCAGTGTCTACATAATTACAAGAGTGATGTATAGTGTAAGCCCCAGAAAATATCAAGTTGCAGCAAGAATATTAGAATTAAGATTCATATCCATTGCCTTTGTTTTTGGAAGGTACATATTCATTGTCCCGAATAATGAAAAATGTAAATAGGTAAAATCACCTCATAATGACGCCGAAAATTTGCAGCATCACCCAAGATCCCTGGATTGGTAAAATTAACCATTGCATAGAACTCTTCTAGATCATTCTGGAGTTCAGATGTGGAAGGTGAAGAAAAGTTTGCATCACAAAAAAAAAAAGAATAAGAATTTGATAACAACAGATAAATCAATAACCATGCCCAAGTGGCTCTCACTTGCATTGGAGTCCCAGACAACAGAATGCGTCGCTTGCATGATACGGCAGCCAATGCCTGATCCAAATAGTGTCATAAGCAATCTTAAAAACAGATATAAAAAATAAGAAATCATAGAAGAACACTTAAATTCAATTTAAACATTAAATCAACAAGTCTTACCCGATTAGTCAATGTCTGATCATTTTTCAGCCTATGAGCCTCGTCACATATAAGAAGGTCACACGATCCACTTTGACTGAATTTGGATGAATGCATCCGAAATGTCTCATAGGAAACAATCAATACCTGGGAGAAGAACAGATGAATAAACTATTGATTCTAGACAACCCAAATAATTTTGCCAATTTACCTGTAAAAAACTGTGAGGACTTATAAAACTATCAATGCCGGAGACAACGTCATCCCGAGTGCTTTCACACAGAGCAACAAGCTTAAGTCTTTCCCCCACCCACTTCTTAATTTCAGCCTCCCAATTGCTGACAAGACTGGTAGGAGTGACGACTATTGCTTTTTTAACCATTGGTTTACCATCAAATCCCTGACGAAGAAGCGTATACAACAATGTGATTGACTGCAATGTCTTTCCCAACCTGCAACAAATTAACCAAGAATGCTAACAAACCTTCAAACATAATAAATTAGAAAATCACTCCATATACTTGGTTACACGTTGGCCCTAGAGATGCCAACTAATATTACTACCCCATGTCATCAGCCAGAATGCATCCATGGATATTGGCACCACTGCATAACCCTGAAACGCATTCAAACATGAACTGAACCCCTTCTCTGCAAGCAAAGTTAAACAAAGCCTTTCAGAAAATCAAATAGAGAAAAATCAGACTTCAAGATAGCCTCCAGCTACTAATGTTCTCACTTCATCAGATAACTTGTCCCTCATTTACATCCCAATACTAATTCCATAAAAAAACACAGAAAAATAATATTTAACAGAATTAAGATACAAACATAGACAAGTTTAAGACTCATGGCATGGCACTGATCAGTTCGACTAACTGACATTGTGGCAACATAATTTTACAAACTGATACAGAAACATGCCTTCGCCATGCATCTTTAATGATAGAACCGGGTTAGGGGTTGTGGAAGGCTGGAAGCTAAGATGGTGATGATGCTTTTCTGGCATCGTAAGGTACCAATTAATGTCATTAGGTTGCATGGTGCACACGTCAGTTGTCAAAAACCAAATGCAACTATTTCTCTACCACATGATATACCTTTGATGGGGCCGCAGGAAATTAACAAGCAAAGGTTCCACAGCTATCGACACTGCGTTACAGTCTCCCTCTTCAAAATCCTCCGGCTGCCACAACACCAAAGGTTCAAACCCTTGGGGCAAGTCCACAATCTCTTTTGATGGTTCTTCTTCAACAGGAACATGTAGCCGATTTGTAATTGGAACTAATGCCGGCCTTGTCGATCCCCAGGGCACAAAGCGTTTTCGAGCCCAGAGACGGCGAACCAGTTGTTCATTTTTGTCGATGTAACCATTAGAACTGGGAGGTTTAAAGGGCTTTCTAACATTTGCTGCAGTCTCTGTTACTGAATAAACTCGTGGAAGTAGTGACTGTCTTTTGACGACAATATTGCCTCTGACAAAACAAAATACTAGTTGAACCCTCCAATTCAGAAATTATTAGTGTACAATATAAGCATTCGTGTGTATGAGCATGTGTGTACGCACATTTTGTTGTTATACATAGAGAGAGAGAGAGAGAGAGAGAGAGAGAGAGAGATCTGAATGTAATTAGCATGCAGAAATTACAGTATAGCAAAAAGGATTAAACAATTTACTGAAGAAGTTTCAAACCCTAGATTGAAACCAAAAAGCTCCCATGGTGAGAATTAAGAGAGAGAATCTGAATTAATTAGCATGCATAAATTACTGTATAACAAAAAGGATTGCACAATTTACTGAAGAAGTTTCAAACCCTAGATTGAAACCGAAAAGCTCCCATGGTGAGAATTAACGTCAATAAAGAAAATAACTAAAAAACTATAGAAGAATTCTTCATTGAAAAGAAAATCGAGCTTATGAACCTTAGAAGAGCAATCACGTTCTGCGATTTTCGATCTTCATTTGGTGGAGCTGAACGGACGGTGGATTGTTCATCATCATCGTTATCATCGTCGTCAGATTTGTAGCTGAGATCTTCTTCGTCGTCATAGGTGAACTCTTCGCTCGAATCGCTGGGATCGGAGGGTGAAACGGCGTCATCTTCCATTGCAATGCCCTCTCACTTCGTTTCTCTCAGTGTTCGGATTCGGACATTATCTTCGTATTTAAATCTCAGTTTGGCGGTAAAATGTAGGCGGTTCAGGGAGGTTAGGCCCTTTTCCTCCTTACTCAGTTGGGCTAACCATAGGTTGGGCCTTGCTTGGTGCAGACCCAACCAGGCCCAGAAAAAGAGCCCACGTTTCATCTCAGAAAAGCCCGTAAAATCCACCAACGCTGGATCGGCTCATGCTGCCCAAGCCCGCGGTAAAATCCCAACGCATGTTTCTTCAACACAAAATGTAAATAGTTATATGATAGTCTCTTTTTTAAGAAATATTTGATTATATTGTTTTGGCGCATGAAATCGGAGATAGACAATGAAGTCTCTCATTCTTAATTTTAATTTCAAAAATTATGAAGTTTTATGGAGTCGTGTTTCAATCAAGACTGAGTATGGGATGGAGCTTTATTTGGGTGGTCTTGATGTTCTTGGAAAACCTAGCCATGTTGCTGAGGCTGAGGAGTTTATTGAGAACTTACCATTTGAACCAACGGCGGCAATTTGGCAGGCCTTGATGAATTATGCTCCAATTCATGGATATTGATCTTGAAGACAGTGCTGAGGAGTTGATAGTTGGTCTTGATACCTTGAAGCTTGTTCCTAATAAGATCCCCACACCACCACCTAAGAAACAATCTGCCATTAGTACTCCAACAAGGACGCCTCTAAGGATCCTTAAGAACCTCCGTGTCTGTGGTGAGTGTCACAATGCTATGAAAGATAATGTCCAGGATTGTTTGGCGTGAATTAATAGTTAGAGACATCAAAAAGTTTCACCATTTTCAAGGATGGCAAATGCTCGTGGTGATTACCGGTCAAGTTACCATTGCTTAGAATTGTGGGTAAGTACTCCGGTGAAGACACCTCTAAGGATCGCCGAGTGTCTATATATCTGCAGTGAGTATAACAGATACAATTCGGTGGAAGATCGTGACCAAGATTGTGGGGACGGTACTGATTGATAGAGATGACATACATTTCAGTATCTAGGAATTCCAAATGCTGTTTTGCAGATTACTGTTGAAATTATGGTTGGAACTTGTGTTTTTGGTAAGCATCGTTCATATTCCCCTCTGCAGTTTTTGGTTTGAATAGTACAGGCGGCCAAGTCATATACATGGCCTCTGTGGACAGAAGTACCTGGATTTGCTAATGGTAGGAAACAAGCAATGTTATTAGCCACTGCAATATTGTTTTGTTGTCTGATTAGACACGTCATTTATTTGTCAGAAATTTCTTAATTTCAACGTGCATGATATGTTTTTGACTGGATTGAAAAAAAGATTAATCAAAGTACACGTAAATTGATACAAATACTCTTTATCACAGTACCAAAAACACAGGCAATAAGCCAGAGTTCCGATAGTTTCTAGATGAAAACAATCGGGATGATTTCTGCAGGAGCTACCTCTTTGACAGTTTCACTGGATAGCCAGAAAACTCAAATTTGACATCTTCTGCTAGGACTTTGTGAAGAGAGAAAAACTTACAAGAACGAGATTTAAAAGTACATCAACCCTTGATTATTAACTTGGTGGAATGAGATTTATCACCATGAAAGCATAAAAGATGTATTACCCTGAAAGCACAAGGATAAACCAGAATAATATTATTCCTCAACAACTTGAACACCACTACGCAACCAACGTTCGAAGAAAGGTGAGGATGATGGCAGACATGAAAAGTAATAACAGAAAGTAATATATTCTTGAGTCTTACGGGGTACAACGAATTCCCTTGATTCGATCCTCCAACATCTCCTTTTGTTGTCACTCATCAACAACAAAACAAAATATAAGAGAATCATCCTTTTGTTTAAGTGCAACAAAATTAAGTAAAAAAAATGCAACGAAGAGTTGCTTAAGAATTACAACAATTCTGCATGGATTAATACGCAGATGAGCTCATCGAAGTTGTAACAATAATATTCCCGGGTTGGAAAAAATATTCATGGTTAATTGTGTCAAGGTGGTTTCCCATTATCCAAATCCTCCATGACATCAATATCTGTTCGTGTTGTTATCTTCTGCACATATCCTGGAATGAGGAGAATATCAAGTGTGAAATCAGGGTTTTATAACCAAAACACACTGAATTGCAATAAAAGGGGTATTCCAATTATTTATCAGTGGAGGTATGATTTCTCAAACAATGGAAAGTACTCCTACAACATTAAAGAAGAAACACTTGTGCTCTTATGCTCACGTCACTTCATCTTTCCTCGTAAACAAGGTGAGTAGCCAGGCACATGTGCCTTGCTTAATCTGTTGCAAATATGCTATGCAAGTGGAAGGAGTATTTGGTCTATTCGGTCAGAGGACACAAAGATACCTATTGGCACATTATGTAAATTATGTCTGAAATTGATCAAATATACATTTATGTGTTTGCTTGAACTTGACAATTCCACTAAATAAACAGTTTTTGAAATAAATGGATCAAATAAACTTTCTAAAAGCTCTCCAAACAACATAACCAAAGCTTTCTATCCCAAAAACCAAAATCCTGTAGAAAGACACATTTCAAAGAAATTCAACACGAGCGGACTATTTGGTTTACAACTTCATGGACCTCCATAAGATCCCTTCCAAAGCAATTAATGGTCACATTCAAAACTATGCAAATAAAGTCTCACAAGCTTCCAGACACTCTTCAGTTAGATGCATTAGAACTTAAACTGCAAATCGGGGCTTTGGCCACAAATCACAATACTGAACTATGGAATGTGGTTTCAGGCCTTTGATCTTAAAGGTTCACAGGTCGATATAACACAACCACATAAAAAAAATGCTTATGAAGTACAATAGGCCTGGGGAAGCTAAAAACTCCACAATGAAGATTTGAGTATCAATTTAATCTCAGATTCATTACATTATTTACTCAACTTTTTATTTTTCCCTCAAGCATGATTGATTAGACTGCCATTGGCCACTACATGAATTAGTAGTAACTAGAATCCCTTATAAGGTTGACACCTGACCTGCAATCTGCAAATATGATCTGTCAAGGCAGTGGTATTGTGCAGGATACTTACCCCATCAATTGAAAAGGTAACTTACATTCACAACACCTCAAACTCAAATGCAAATATGAGGATAGAAAGCATGTTGAGCAACAGTTGTTTATATCCTCTGGATTCATACTTGCCAGAGCCAAACATAAGTATGGAAAATTAACAAGGCTACTACCTACTGAAGATATTTTGAGTGGAGGCACATTGATTTCATTGTACTAAGGGCAAAAAAATACCATCACACAGTCATATGAAAATCCAAATATCATTTCTTCTCCTTTTGCACCAGAATAAACCAGGATAAAGTGAAATTCATTAACCGTGATTATCATTTTCAACTCCCTTGCCCTAAATAGCTCATCAATAGTTTGTCATTTCTTCTCATTTTTTTGAGCCATCCATACAAAAAATACCAGTTAATAACTCCATACTAGGTAAGATGCTTCCTTCCTTACACACTACTAGTTCATGACATACAGATAAATACACCAACGCAGGGAATGAATAATACATACGCAGATAATGAAAAATAGAACAATGAATAATTGAATCATGGTACACATGTTATTAACATACAATAAAAGGAGGAAAAGAGTACCAATTCCAAGGCAGGGTATGCATTTGCAGGTAATTTCCTTCCCTCTTTTATTATAGTAACTGACAAATCCTGACCCTTGGCAACTCCGACACTTTCCAGTCCATTCATACACAACGTCGTAACAATCCTGCAATTCTCATCATTAAGCACAACAGAAAGTCAAAAACCAAACAGGTGATAACAAATTAGAAAAAACAAAAATCGTCCATGCTTTTTTCTCAAATTTTCTCGGCAGCCAAACATGTGATTACAAAATAGAAAAGGAGAATGAAAAAAAAATTAAACCTCAATTTTGGGGTCACAACGGAGGCGCTGGTCAATCTCGTCAGGCGACACCGGAGATGTGTCTGGGTAAGTCATGGGAAGTGGAAGAGCGTCAGCATCGTCACCCAAGTAGCTCTCACGGTCACGTGACCACCTCTTCTCTCTCGCATTGATCTTAGTGTTCTTGTTACTCGCAATTCGCCTCTCAGCCGCGGCGGAACCGTCGGAGGTTTGGCCGATTGCGCCGCTGCTAGAGGCGGCGTCCGCGGCTGCCGGGAAGCTGAACCACCAACGCGGAAATGAGGGGCCCACCGGAGGATCCGCCGCGGCTCGACAGAGGATGGTGGTGGTGGAAGGCGGAGGAGAGAGAATGCTGAGGGAGAGGAAGGGGGGTTTTGAGGCGGATAAGATTGAACTAGGGTTTATAGGGAACATTCGAGGAATTAAACTGTATCATGTATATCACCGAATGTGTGAGAGAGAGAGAGAGAGAGAGCGCAGTGGCTGAGATTTGGACAGTACATTTGCGAGGAACGTGGAGATCATGGGTGAGGATTTATAAGATGCGCCGTGTGCGCATTTACTCAAAAGGAAAGTAATTTTGGGTGGTAAACCAGGAGATAGCTTAAAGTTAAATAGGCACGGGTTACAAACAGCTTTCATGCAATTGTTTAAAGTTAGCTCACGGATTTATTTGGCGTAAATTAATCTGGATATCTCCTTATAGTTAAAAAAAATAAATAAATTTAAATAGATTTAAAAAATTATTTAAAATTTTAATTTGATGAATTATTATCATTGAATAGATAGTAAATTATAATAAATACTAAGACATACAATTAAATAAATTCCAAATATGACAGCATTTAAGGTAATGTTTGATAAAATTGAAAGTTGAATATTGAATTTTAAATATTGAATGCTAAATTTTTTAATTCGCGGACTACTTGGTATTAACTGTAATTCAATTATTGAATTTAATCAATTGTTTAACAAATATACAAATTTTAAATTTTAAAATAATTATTATTTTATTTTTGTCATTTTTAACCATCTCTCTGAAACTATTTTATTCCTATCACCACTATCACAATAGTGGTGGTAGTGATAATGGTGGTGACATAATGGTAGCGACGGTGACAATAGTGGTGGTGGTGGCAATGACACAATAGTAGTGGTGACAATAGCAATGGTGGTGGCGGCAGTGGCAACACTATAGTGTCGATGGTGGTGGCGGCAATGGCAATAGCAATGATAAACTAGTAGTGCTAGCACAATAGTGGTGGTAGTGGTAGTGACAACGACAGTAATGGTGACGATAACGATGACACAGTGGTGACGATGGCAGTAACTTAACGATAGTGGTGGTGACGACGACATAATAGTGGTAACGATGATAATGGTGGTGGTGGTGGCAATGACAATAACAATGATGATGATGACAACAATAGTGATGGTTATGGTAATAATGACACAATGGTAGTGACGGCGTCAATAATAGTGGTGGTGATGACGACAATAGCACAATAGTGGTGGTGACGATGACATAATAGTAGTGAGGGTATATTTGTTCATTATGAAAAATTGATAAAATTTGTATTAACTAATATTTTTAGTATTAAATTATAAGTATGCGGCTTACTACTTAAAATTTTAATATATTTTTAAGAAATATTTAAAATATTAAGTAGTATGAGTTTTAGGTTATCAAATAAATTTAATTTATTAAATATTTAAAGTATTCAATTTTAAGCATTAAGTGGTTTTATCAGCAGCCCTAAGTTTATTTAGGATTTGAACATTTAATAAGTTTTTGTAGGATTTGCTCTAAAAAAAATTAGTTTTGAGTTGTCCATTTTTTGAGAAAGATTTAGAAAGGAAAGTTCAGTCCAATTTTAAATTCACAGCTTTGGCCCGGTTAAAGGCCCAATTTTTTTCTTGGTTAGTAAATTGGGTCACTAGCATCTAGCTTTTATTTGAGTCGTGTCGTAGATATAAAATTTAGGAAAATTTGTAAGACGGTACACATTTTTTAAAATATTTTTAGAAAAGTTTATAGCCTAAACTTTTAATAAATTAGTAAGTATACTACTTACAAAATATTTGGTGAATAAATACATATTTTTAAATTTTCATATTTTAGCAGTACATAAATGTCTTTATTTATTTTATGCAATATTTAGTAGTTTCTTTTTTTTTTATTATGTTTTTATTGACTAAGTAGTTTGTTATTTTAGTGGGCAATTAATCGTTTAAATTTTAAAAAGATTACAAAAATATATTTGACAGTTAAAGTTTTTATTGTATATTAATTCAAACTGTAATTATTATTTTTCACATTTTGATTTTTAGTATTCAACTTTTTCAAACAGCTACTGATATTCATTATCGGTCTTCTATAAGATGGGTTATCAATTTTCTGGTATTTGATGTCAAACTATTTTTAAAATTACGTCACTTTTTGATGTCACTCTTTTTTTTAATTATGACAGACTATTTTTAAAATTATGTCACCCTTTGATGTCACATTATTTTTAAAATTATATAACTCTTTGATGTCACATTATTTTTTTAAGTATGTTACACTATTTTTTAATTATGTCACTCTTTAATGTGTGAATTCACTATTTGATGCCTTTTTTTGATCTCCTATTATTTCTTAATTATGTCACTCTTTTGTTTACGAACACAAATTGATGAGATTTTTTTATTTTTTTAAGAATTAGATGGTTAATAAGTAAGAATTTTTTAGGAAAATCATAATATTTTAATATAAAAAAATAGTTGCTCTTGAAATCTACAAAGTTGCCTTTTTTCATGGAAAGAAATTTGGCTGCCCATTTTTATGGAAGGATTGCTTCAATTTAAAAGCTTTCCCCTTAAATCTTCCATGAGCATTCCTAGTTTGAATGAAACTCCGTTGAAATAACAACTCAGTTAATGAATTGATTTTATTTTTTTAATTCGGTTTAGCTAATTCAATAAACTAGATAATTAAGGGTATTAGATAATTAAGGATATTAGAATCCTTTAAACTTGAAATGTACTTCTTAACAAAATAATTTGGTGATTGAAATTTTTGACAAATAAGTTAATAAAAGTAGACCGGCCCACAAATATCCCTAGAATTTAAAATTTTAAAAATTAGAAGTCAATACAATTTCAAGATCTTTTGTTTAAAACAGTTCAAATGATCTATAACAATCACTCAATATATTTACTAACATTGTCATGTTCGAATCGACACGTATAATATGTGAACATAAAAATTATATCCTATCATCTCTTCTCTCTGTAAAAACCACAAATCATGTGCTCCTATAAACTAAATTGCACTTAGTCTAGATAATCATGCAATCAAGTGAAAAAAAAAACCCTCTAATTCTATAAATTCGTATAGTATCAGTTCAAGAAAATTTTAGAAGTCAACTACTTTTCAGGGTTTGTCATGCTGAAATCTAATAGTTCCTATTCGATAGTGATTCAATATTCATGCTAGAATGTGCTGTTATTTACATAGTCCTGTGAGATAATCTCCAACTCTTACTTAAGCCAGTTAAGGCTGGTCTTTGGATTAAAGGAAGGCCAGTGCAGTCTAAAAGAACAACTGGAGTTAAGATCAGTTAAGGAACTTTTTTTTTGGCTAAAAATTATAAGAAAAGAAGTATAAACATGTGGAACATAGCCTCTTTCCAACAGCTGAAGTACTCTCTCTTTCTCTCCATTGCCCCATGGCAACCCCCTCATCATTCTGGTATATGTGGTCCAAAAACTTCCCAATCACATCCTGAAATGGCACAGTAGAACTTCCATTGTCACTTCAACAGAAAATTTCCAGGAGAAACCCTGAATCAAAACCACCATTATTAAATAATAGTCTTGTATACTTTGATAAGTAGACGAGGAACCCATATAAGGTTGGTTATAGAAGCATTGTACTTCAGGTTTATGTAGGAGAAAAATCTTAAGAGCAATTATTAGTTTGGAAACAAAAAAAAAAACGTTTCTGAAATGGTTGAGAGAGAGGAAAAGAATTTGAAATTTGATTTTGAAACATTAGTTGAAATATTTTGTAATAAAGTATGAAAATTCAATTTTGCATTAATGATTCATTTCATTTTCCACCGAAACCAAGATATTCTGACGTTGAATTGATCACTAAGAGTCACAATACAAAATAGATTCCGAAAGCAAAGTGGAGATCTGCTCTTACTGAATGTTTATGCCATTTCTGTTCATCAGAGTCACTGGAATGCTACCATTGAGTTTGTTATTTTGGAGGAATCTGTTAGACAAAGCATAACATCAAACACATAAGCTAACCTTTGAGCAGCTATATTATATTATTGGACAAACTTTCCAGTGGCAGAACCATACATTTCATGAAGTTTTGGAAGTTGGCCCAATGATTTTGGGATCGGTCCCTCGAATTGGTTGTTCTGCAAATGCCTTTTTTCACATCAAGAACAAAGTCTAAATCAAGGTGTTGCAAATAAAATTTTAGTAAGCTGAAGATAAAAGAATGAAGAAAAACAAAAAATGACACCATTGTCTGGGAACTTACAGAGTTTGCAGAGCCTTCAAAGGGCTCAGGTCTGGAATTGGTCCCGAGAGTTTATTATCTCCTAGCCAACTGCATAGACATCATTCAAAGTAATGTAATTTGTCAAATGAATAACAATGGAAAATTTGGGTATGCTAGTAAGATCAATAGGGTTAAACTACTTACAGATTGGTAAGAGCAGTTAACTTAGTTATGCTTCCAGACAGCGACCCGGACATTTTGAAGCTTGTTAAATTCCTTCACGTAATGAGGAAAGAAAAAGTTGGTGCGAAATCAAAACAAATCAAAATAAAATAAGCAAACGATAGAGTTCCTTGAGAGAACAATTTGTCTTAGAGGTGCTCACTGTGATATGATTTGCAGAAACAGATGATTATGCCAAAGTGCCCTGGTTAATGTTATGTTGTGACTTACAGAGAGACAACCCGGTTTCTCTTTCCTTCGGAACATGTAACTCCAGTCCACGAGTTCTGTTTAGGTAGGCATGGATCTCCATACCAATCCTGAGGTGGGTTGTCGAAGCTTCTTGCCAAATCTTCCATTACCATCACTGCAAAATGCCCAAACATAATTAATTCATCAAGAAACATTGATGATCTGGAAGCATACAGGGATGCAAATGAATTGAGCTAAGCTGGGCGCCAGACTATCCAAGCTCGCCTCAATTGTTGTTGAAGAATGTTCATGGACTCGTCATGAGTTTCAAATATTATGTTCAAGCTTGCACTTTTTTTTTCGAAATCAGGCCCAGCTCGTTTGAATAAACAAACCTAACTAGAGCTCGGCTTAGGCTCATTTGATTAAAGGAACCAAGCATAAACTTGAATGAAACTCGGTTCATTTGCAATGCATAAGAAGCCAAAAGGGGCTACCATCATTAGTGAGAGTCCTTCCTTCAAGAGGCAGAATCAGAAACACCTCCCCTGCATTGATCACTGGCCCAACCGGCATATCAGTCGGGGGAGTCATCACAATCTCAGTCTGCCCAGAAAGAGGCCATGCCGCGCCATAAACAGTCACACCACTGCTGGTGACATTGAGGTTGGTGTAGAAGCTTTCATCATTCACACTGACATTGAAAACTCTCCAGCTATATGGGCTAGGAGTCCGGTTGTCTTGGAAGTAAAGCACAATGTAGTAATAGCTGCTCGGGAGTGGAAATGGTGGCCACCTGACTGTGAGACTTTTTCCTCTGCTTGTTGTGATTGCTGTTGTGAAGGCTTGCTTTGGTGGAATGTTCCAAAATTCTGAAGGAGTGACATTGGAGTGGCTTGTTACCACAGGGTTGTTGTCGATGAATGGTTGCCAAAATCGATTGAACTGGTCATCTGGAAAACTAGTTTGATTTGATATGTTCAATATTCACATATCAGAGGTCAATCAAACTTCTTAGAAAATTTAAATATTGGAATAATACTATTTGAAACCAAAAATCTAATTTAAGATGTGACAATTGCTATGATTTAGTAACATTGTTGTCATTATAATTGTTTTATTTTTTTAGATTCAAATAGAATCATCCAAAAGCATCAGACCAACAAAACAAATCCCATCCTCCGTCCTCCTTCCTCATCCAAAATTTGGCATTTGAGTATGCTTTTGCATGAAAAATTACAATTAACAGCCTGTAGTATTTGAATTTTTTTCTCTAGTCATCCCCTGGCATTTCATAAATGGCAATGATAGCTAAACATTTCAGCGTCGTAACTGCAAGTCTTTCTGTCATTGATAAAGATGATGTGAACAAAAATAATGTTCAAATGATAAAGATTACTCTCCTATTTCCTGTTGGAATCAAATAATATTGTTTTCAAACTATTTCCTCACTATAACAATATTATCTTAATTGGCAAATATCCCTCGTCATCTTTTTCTCACCCCCCCACCCAAAAAAAAAATTCAGACGAGAAAAAACACTGTGAGGCTCTATTCCACTCAAGAAAATTGGTTTACTTTTTCGTGTGTCCTCAAGTAGTTTATTGTATATAATGGTAAAATATAGGATTTCTACTATCCAAATTTTTATATTATTTTTAGTTTATGAATATAATCCCATTCATGAAAGACAAAACCCAATTTGGATAATAACGTCAACACATTTTAATCATAGCTTTGTATAAGATAATCAAAAGTGACAACAACTATTGATTAGATGAATAAATTAGATCATATCGAAATAACATTTGCACAAACAAAAGATTAGAACAGAGATGGGGTGATTTTCAATTTGCATACCTAAGGATATCTCCACCAGTCCCAAATCTATGGCGAGCAACAGTAGACAATGCATAATTCCCAAAATCAGTAGCATTATAGAGTGAACCATCAAGAAACTGCAATTCAAGAGCCGAAATAAACGGACTCGAGACCGTGTGCTCATTCCTCGCAAGGCACACGCTCAACGTCTTCGCATGAGCCGTAACAATTATCTCAAAGTACGAGCTCAAACCCTCGGCGAAATCCGCAGTCGTATTGACGGTGCTCCATATCGTGCCGTCGATGATCTGATCGAACACCGGCGGTTCCTTTCCTCCGTCGAAGCTTCCATAGAAATAGGTTGTTCTTACGAGAAACTTCCCTCCTTTGATCACCGGAAAAACGTAGCAATATTTCCGAGCAGAAGTGTCTGGAAAGTACCTTAATGTGGTTAGTATTGGTAGTAGATCGGTTTGTCTGACGCCTGATCGGTTTCCGACCGATATGAAACCCTCGTCGGTGATGTACTTCAGGCTACCTTCTTCTATATCAACCGTCGCACCGCAGTTTAGGAGGAAACCTGACAGGAATGTGGCAATCAGAGAGAGAGAGAGAGGCAAATAAATCTAAGTGTGTATGCATGTGTACATATATATACATCGAAGTACTGGATTGGTGGAATGGTTGTTACCTCTTGCTTCAGGGATGGCGTGGACGATGATGAAGGGGATGCTGACAAGCCATAGGAGGAAGATGGAGACGGACATTTTAGAGTAGGGGGGCAGAGAGGATGGATTGGGTAGTTTGTTTGGAGAGAGAGAGAGAGAGAGAGAGGGGGGGGGAGGGAAATGAGAGGGCAACGTTGGACATGGTCGAGAGGGTGGACGCATCAAAGGCAGTGCATGAAGATAGAGGCGGGCAGCGTTTAGATTGAACCGGATCACATTATTGGGTTCGGAGTTATGATGTGAAGCAAACCGGGTTTGGATCAACGTGAATTTGGATCGGAACTAAAATTGGAAATTGATCGATCCAATCCATCCATGTTGATGCCAGAAACTGTCCACCGAGCCGGAATTGAGCTTTGACCGCCTTGGGAAAGTTCCTACAGGAAAAGTCGTGGATTGGAGGGATTTTGGTGATCGATCCATTTGATATTTAAGTCAAAAATAGATTATAAAGAGTGATTGTATATAGTTGGAATTGAGACTTTCCCCCTTTAGATGATCTAAGTTATAGTATATAATGAGACTTATCCTTTTTGGATGATATTCAACTAAACTTATTATAGCTAGGTCAATGGGTTAGATTGTTGTAGGGTTCTAATCCTTTATTTGAATAAAGGCAATACCAGAGTTGAAGTGAGTAAAGACTCTCCATAAGCTTGGTTTGAATTAGTAAAAATGTGCTTAATTAGGACTCTACCGAGTTGGAAATGCAGATTTGGTGGACTAGTAAGTTGGGACTGTGCCACTTCGAATCGTGGAGGTCCTCTGCCAAGCTGTGGAGCTCCTATGTTAAGCTCGTGCTTAATTTAACATCATCAATCTCCATAACAAAAATCATTTGATTAAGATTTGAGCACATTATCCATTAAAATTTTGAGATCAAACTTCTATGTAATTTTTGGAATGGACAACAGATTGAATTATAGTTTCAAAATTCTTATTATGTAATTGATTTGGTTCGAGATTAACCCAACTATATTTGACTCATATGATAAAAAAAAATAAGAAGAAAAATATATAATTTTTTTTAGCATTTTGTGTTCCCCCCCCCCCCTTAGATGTTGGCCAACTTTTGAGATCCCTATGTTTTTTTCTTTTGTTTGATTATTACTAGTTTTTAGTGTTTCATGTATCCTCTAAAATAAATTTAATGCCCCCACCCAAATGATCATACATGATTAAAAAACATAGAGCTTCAATAAAGTAGAAATTGGATTATTTAACAAAAACATATATCCCAACTTTTTTTCTATTGTGCTCTATCAAAAGCCATAAAAAAAATTATCAAAAATAAATAAATTTGTATTCACACCAAAAATTAAATTACAAAGATAAATGAGAGAGAAAAGAATTTAAGCATTGATTATAGTGGGGGGGCGAGTGGTGATTGTGGTGGTGAGAGATGGTGATCGTTGTAATGGATGACTACGACCATTACTGATGGTGGTAGTTATGGGTGGCAACGGTGAAAGTTGTGGTGGGACGATAGGAGCGGTGGTGGTAGAGATAATGATGGGACAGTGATGGTGGTGGTAAGATGACGACAACTGTGGTGATGATAAGGGTGATGGTGACAGTGATAATAAATATAAAAATAAGACGACGAAGGTGATGGGGACAGTGAGGATGATGATGATAAGGGTAATGATTACACAGGGGGCGATGGTGGTAGGGGTAGTGACAGGACAGGGGGCGGTGGTTTTAGGGTGGTGACAATGATGGTGATAGTGGGGGTGGTGGTAGTGGGGACGATTATGGGAGGACGGTGGAGGTTGGTGGTGGTAGAGTGAAGACAGTGGTGATGGTGATTGTGGTGGTTTCTGTGGAAGAAGTGGTGGTAGTGAAAGGGTGGTGGCAATAGTGGTAGTAATGGGGGTGGTGACAGTGGTAATGGTGGCGACGACAATGATAATGGTTGTTATAACAGATATGGTGGTTAGGTGGTGGCGACGATGGTGATGGTGGTGATGGCAATGGTGGGACAATAGCGGTGGTGGTAGTAGTGGTGGTGGTGAGACGATTTCAAACACCATTTTAAAAAATATATATATATTTATGAAAAGTTATAAGTTCTAAAAGTATTTTTAAAAGTCATACACCATTAGAACCCATATTTTTTCTATTAAATTTGGGATATTAATATTAACCTTCAAATTAATTTTAAAATGATATTAACCGCGAAAAAGAAAAGTCAGTTTATTTATCTTTTGATATTTAAATTATATTATACTTTATTATATAGATTTTTCTTATTTTATTCAAAATTATGTTATCTCTTGCATAATCATTGATATTTATGAAATTATTATTTCTCACCTGTGCACGCATTACTATGCATTCTATAAAAATATTCAAACACCTAAATCAATTATCTCTTAAATTAATGACCAAAAAAAAAAGATTATCGGTTAGTTGTTCTTCTATTATTAAATGAAATATATTTTTTGAAATTTTTATTTACTTAATTCAACAAAAGATTCAATTTGGAAAGCAAAGAAATTATGACCATATAAAATTTTATAAATACAGACAACTGGCAAAACAAGAGCGCCTGTAGCTCAGTGGATAGAGCGTCTGTTTCCTAAGCAGAAAGTCGTAGGTTCGACCCCTACCTGGCGCGTTTATATTAACTCTTAAAGGCATACGGCATCGTTTTGCCCATTAACACGCTTTGGCCCAAATTTCGTCAAAACCCTACCACCTCCTGTTTTTTCCTTGAATTCGGACAAGAACTCACCCTGGTTCCCTTATTCCAACGACTAAAAACCCTAAACAATTCTCAATTTCAATAAAATTTCAATCTTTTTGGTATTTCTTTCTTCGAATTTAGCAGAGTTATGAAGGTCTTCGAGGTCGATGGAGCCACTACTCTCTCTCTTGCCCTCTTCACTGACGTCACTAACTCCAGGTACTCTCTCTCTCTCTCTCTCTCTGTGGAAAACACTTCAGATTTTCTTTTTCCATGTACATAATTATGTGCCTATTCTGTGTCGATGTATAGCTGTTTTATATGTTCAACTACGTATCAGCGTGGAGAATCCTTTATTACGGGATGCGAATTTGTAGGTTTCTAATTTGATGAAAAACCAATTTGCAAGTTATTGAGAAAAGGATAACTGAACGATAAAATTATTGGGTGGCTCCTTATTTTTAATGACTTGTTCTTTCTTTGTTTTTGAAAAAGGTGAGTTGGAATGAAAATTAATTTGGGGGCAGACTAAAGTTTTCAGCTTTTATATTTGTATGAATGGATGTTTTTATTGTGGGCATGTGAAGAATACTTGGTCGAAGTTGTGTAGTGAGATTATGCGAGATATTGAGGTTGTTGCGCAGACTGTGCTTGCTATAAGTCAACATTTGCACAAATAGGGGTTGAAATTAGATTGGATAATATCGAGAGTATATAGCAAATTCTTTTTGAGTGGCGCAGGATGCAAACCATAGCCGATACTTGAGAAGAGTTCGAATAGGGTATTGAAACTTGTCTTAAAAAGAGACCCTTTTTTAGGTATGAATAGTTATGCTGAATTGCTTTTGAGTTTCATCCAAATTCCGTTGTGTTAGCATCCCTGATGCCATGTGATACCTCATACCTATGACATTGGAGGGGGGGGGGGGTCAGTAGTATGTATAGTGACGTTGGATTTTTGGATGGCTTTTTGAGCCTCATACAATTTCCCTATTGTTAACATCCTTGATGCATTTAATATGATGGGAGGTTGGGGGCATTGTTTCCTTGGTATGTATAGTGGGGTTGAATTGCTTATTGTCATAAAAATTTCCTATTGTTAGCATCATTGCATGTACTATCTTTTTTCCTCGTTTCATGCTTTATATCACGGGGGATGTGCACATGGGTTTCGAAAGGTAAAATTAACTAAGCTTTTGCTGCCGAAGTCATGAACCTCTGGAGGACTGTTAAATTGGTTTACAAGTTGAGAAATGATTTTGTTCTCTGTAGTAAGCCACAGAGGTGCATCAGATTAGAAAAGAAACCTGGATAATTTAGGTTCTGAAAATGTATCCTCTCTTAGGGCTTTGGTGTCATCTATAGTTTATCATGTATTTATGTTATTATTCATGTTGGATTTCATTTGGAAGTGCCAGAATTTGTAGGTCATATCTTCCTGGATGCTTTTGCAATTCCCCGCAATTATTGTTTGTTAACGGTTTCCCATAGTGAAGGTCTATTTCTTATGTTGCCTGGATGTCTCATAATGAGTGTGTAGTGTAATACAAAGACAGCTTGCTTCATTGGCACTTCGAAGGTAATCTTCCTTTGCCCATAATAGTTGGCCATCTGAGCGAAATCAGACATTCAAAACAACGGGGCCAATCAAGAGTGGAACAAGATATACTCGAAGATTGATAGTAGCAAGGATAAGAAGATACATGCCCTAAAAGGGGCCAGTGTATGAAAAGCACGAATATTAGCAAAAAATTAAAGGATCCAAAAGCAATTTCCAATATTATGGTTTCTAGCTTTAGATTTAAAGATGAAATCATCTATACTACTAATAAAAGTACCTTAAGTAAAAAAAATTTGATTCGCTATTTTACCGTTATAAAGAATCTTAAATACCACATTATCTTTGCATAGTTAAATATCTAAATTACAATCATAACCTTATGTATTTAAATCTTTAAATTACCCTCTAACATCTCTTTTAATTATCTATTATCTTTGTATAAATATCAATAACTATGAAAATTTTTAATTCACTACGCAACCCTTAAAAAAATATATGCATCATTATAATTTTCAATAGCGTGTTCAAAAAGTCTATCAATAGATCATTACTTTTTTCAAATAAAAAAAATATCATTATGTATATATATGTATTTTTTTTTTCTATTTATACTACTAATAAAAGTATCTAAGAATGAAAAATTTTTGATTCATTATTTTACTTTGATAAATAATTTTAAATACCACATTATCTTTTCATAGTTAAATATCTCAATTGCAATCACAATCTTATGTGTTTAAATCTCCAAATTACCTATAATATCTCTTTTAGTTCTTTATTCACAATGTATAAATATCATTTTCTATGAAATTTTTTAATTGATTACGTTACTCTTAAAAAATATATGTATCACTATAGTTTTCAATAAAATGTTCAAAAATTTAAAACTTTTATCAATTTAACATTACTCATTTTAAATATAAAAATAACATTATGCTTATATATGTATATTTTTTTATCTAAAATTTTAACTATTTCATTTTTAAGATAAAAAATAATCTTTTATGTAGTTTTTTAAAAAATAATTTATGTTAAATCAACATAATTCTTCAATCACAGTAAAATTTTCATATTTTATTAAGATTTTATATATAATGTAATTTTTTAAAAAATAATTTATGTTAAATTAACATAATGCTTCAATCACAATAAAATTTTCATGTTTTTTTAAGAGTTTATATAAAAAAATTATATTGTATTTTTAAGTAAAACTTGAATTTTAGAATTTTAATATTTTTTTAAAATATATATTATAGAGTAGTGTATTATATTTTAGGATTAATAGTACTTTTAGTCTATGAAATATACATGTTTTATCAATTTGATTTTCATTGTATCAATTTTTTCTATAAAGTTAATGGTTTAAATGATCTTTACCCAGACAATTTGTTAAGCTTTTGACAGTAGTGATCACGTGTTGGTCACATGATACTAAATGATAGAATGACATGTGTTCACTTTTATAAAAAAAAAATTAATGGATCGTCTGGTTAGGGACCATTAAACAAGAATTAAATATTTTATGGACCAAATTAATAAAATTCATATATTAAGGATGAAATTGACAAAAAAAAAAGCATATTTTAGAGACCCAAAGTGTTATTAACCCTATATTTTATCCCTATTGAACTATGAATATTGACAATTATTGTTATTTTATTCAAGTTGAAACCTAATCAAATGAATTATTTTTATCTTTTTTCTTATAATTAGAACAACAAATCGCTGGGAACAGAAAATATTTTTTGAATTTTATAGTATAATACGAGCGATAAAAATATAATTTTTGATAAACTTGATATGATATTTAATATAAGTACACATATACCTAACACTTTTTATTAATATTGTGTGTACAAAAATTATTTACGTGCAAAGCACGTGTTGCATTGCTAGTAAATTAAAATGTCTTCAAGGGCTTTATATCAAAATAGATGAATAAAGAATGTCCAGAAGGGTGTTTTGTTTATTTTTTTCCGGTAGTAGTAGTTCAAAGAAAATCTTTGCTAGAAATCAAGTGCCTAACAAACTCTTGTCTTGCAGAGAACTTCTGGATTTAATGCAAGCCGGAACGCTGGAACCAGAAGTTGCATTTCTCAATGCATCACTTGTAGGCATAGTTTTACCTGTTCCATAAATGCTTCAAAACTTTCCTTGCTCTATAAACTAATCTATGTGAACAACTCCTACAGATCCCAGATGTTTTCCCTCTTCTAGCAGCTGCACATAAGACTCTTATATCCAAATCAAGGGAATCATTGACAACACGTACGCTGCATTCTGAGCTTGTTTACAACTACTCTGGCTCTAAGCATGTATGAATATATTCTATATTTCTACTACTATTTTTTCCTTATGCTTTTTCATGCACGGATCCATTCATTGCTGGGATTTATACTTTCCAGATCTCGGAATCTTTGAAAAGATGTGGCATCTTGGACAACTCGCATGACATCCTCGTGGCTCGTTTTGGTGCTTCTACTGATGAGGTTAGACCATCGGGTCATTTGGTGCTGTTTTGCAGAGTTCCGTGATTATTGATTTTGAACTTGTTTAATGGGGGAAGTTACATGTACATTATTTACATGACTAGATGATGGCTGTAGAGAAACTTATCAAAGGTAAGGAGATCGATTTAGATGAATTGGAAGAGCGGGCAAATCAAACCCAGATACAAAAGGTTTGTGGGTCTTCTCTCTCTCTCACACACACATACACACAACGACAATACTCCAGTAGGCTATTATTAGTTCTCAACTAACTTATGCTACTGTTACTGTTATTTCTTAAATTGATGAATTCATCTACTTCAGCACTACAAAATATCTAACGTGGAACTAGGGATATCATCAATTGCTGATGCTATAGTTTGCCGGATTGCTGCCCGTGATGCTCTGTAAGGGGGAGAAAGTTAGTGGATTCTATTTTATCTTGTAATTTTCGCATATTAATTTCTCTCGTCCAGAACTTTCCTCTGTTTAGGTTGAGGTAGAAGCCATAGTTGATATTTAAAATTCTCAATTATGTATTTTTTTCTAGAAAGTAAAAAAGGTGCTACACAAGAACTTTCCAAAGGGTTGTTCATCCTAGTATCACTCTCAACATTATGTAATTTGTTCCGAGGAAATCTAGTTGAATCATTTCTAGTAGTGTCTTAGAATTTATGCATGAGTGAAAATTGTTGGCCTTCCCTCTAATTTCATTTTAATTGTTTTTGAGAGGTTCTCTTTTGATATGGGTACAACAACTAGGTTCCACAAGAAGATTTGATCCAAGATTTCTAGTATGTCCCTTCAAAATGAGATGTTTCCTAAGGGGTCTAGTTGCCTTCATTTTCACATCTTAGGGGGTAAAGTTTTATGTTATCACCACCAAGGTAGATCAACCCATTGGGAGCTGCGAGCAGAGGGCTGTTTTTTGTTTTTGTTTTTGCTCGGAAAAGGTTAAGTACAGAGTAAAGGAACAAGAGAAACAAAATTAAGCTAGCTAATTCCTTTACTAAGTGGTTGTCTCGTTGAGCATTGCTTCACTCACTAAGTTTGGAAGTTGGTGATTGGGAAGAACACCCGTGTACTTCAGGGCTAATTACCATCTTGCGACCTCATGTGCTACTGTATTTGTATCTCTGTTAGCACGTATCAAGTTTCAATCAGGATGATTCCTGAGAATTTGCTTAAGGTATTGGATTATTTAATCATGACTAAGTGAACCACAGTTTGGGAGATGCAGATACAGAGGGTTGTTAAATGATTCAAGTTTGGCTTGGTTTACCTTTTTCAAGTTCGATTAATCTTTTTTTTAAATATTGAATTTAATTAAATTTTATCGTATTATAAATGAGTTGAATTTTAGTTGTGTGTAGTTGGGTTGACATAGGTTCTTATTTACAAATATTTTTAATTTTATTATCAAATAATTCTTATTCGAAAGATGAACGAATAAAGTTTGTCCCTAATAGTTGCAGGCCATATTTATATATCTTTCTCCAAAATAGACTTTTGGGATATGTGAACTTTACAAGTTTTTATTTGATGGCTAATTACATATTTTATAGTTTTTTTTTTTTTTAGCTGGGAAATGAATTTATTTAGGAATGATTATTGACTTCTAAGGGTAAAGTGTTTGTTCAGAAATTGACCTTGATTTCGGTTTAGATCCGACTCAAATTTCTTTAAACTTCTTATTAAATTGGATATGAAAAAATCTAATCTCGAGAATTGAAGTGGGTTTAAGTTTGACTTTAGTCTTTCATAATCAAATTAAATTTGAATATATTCAAACTTGATAAATTAGATTCCATCATCTCTTTGAACTTAAATTTATGCCTAGGAATGCATGAATCGAATTTTCTAAAAAACGTGTGTTGAGCTAGCGGACATCGCAACTAACAAAGATTCCCATGACATGATGGTTGAACCCAGTAGTAATTAACAGTTCAAAACATGTGTTACAATTACTAAAAATAGTGGGTTCTGAGCTGTTAATTAACAGTTGAAACATGTGTTGAAATTACTAAATTATTGATTGTGTGTTAATCAAGATGGGACGAGTTATTCAGATTTAGTTTGAATAGGATTCGACTTGAACTCGACTCATATTCTAACTAAGTTGAGCTTGACTAATTATTTAAGTTCATTTAGAAAAACAAGATTAAAAAACTCGGATCAAGCTCGTAAAATTTTACTCGTTTACGTATAAATTAGTCAAGTTATCGCCCGCTCTTCACTGTGGGATCGGGCTCGGCTCATTTTTTAAATTAGTTAAACTTGAACAATTTTTTAAATTCGTTTAAAAAAATGATCTTAATAAACTCAACCTTAAGCTTGTAAAATTAGACTTGATTAACACCCTCGCTGCTAAACTGACAGTATAAGAATGAGATTAAACTAAAAAAAAACTAACGGTAAGTATCAAATGACTTTGACTGCACCCGTTGCTGAGCAGAAGTAAACCGAGTAAACCCAGTGGGTGCTCTCGACTCTGCCCAGAGACCCACCAATGTCCTGATGCGAATGAGGGTCATTCAAAGGATACGACTAGAACCAACATCTCTCTCTCTCTCTCCTGAGAAAATAGCTCCAATTCCACACGTGAGTGTATATATGTATTTGGGTGTCATACAGTATTTCTAATTTTTGACCAATAAAAATGTATTACATACATATATATTTTTTATTTTCTATTTTTTTTTATTTCATTATTTTTTAATATTTTATTAAAGATCATTCAAGCTAAAATTGAACCACTTTATTTAGTTCAATATCTGTATGCACTTGTTAAAACTTAAAAGTCACTCAAGCAATATTATAGTAGATACATCTCTTTCTCTCTCTAAAATAAGAGGTCTTGGACACCTAAGAGTGTCTCCAACAACAAAATGTATTTTATCTACTCAAAAAATAATATTTTTTATTTTAGTTACTCACTTTTTTAACACATACTCTAATAAATTTTTTATATTTTTAACTAATCTTTTTAAATATTATTTCTCATTTTTTTTGTATTATTTTTTTTAAGAATAATAAAAAAGAGAGCATGAAAGAAAGGAGAGAAAGAGAGAGAAAATAATATATAATATTTACATATTGCTACCGTGATACTGTAGCAAAAATATATTTTATATTATATGAACAACATTTGTTGAAGATGAATTTTAGTTTTAAAATAATTAAATTTTAGCTATTTTACTCATTTGTAGCGTCAGTTAAAAAAACAACTCAAATACCACACGTGGGCGTGGGCGTGGGCGTGGGCGTGGGCGTGTGCTTGTGAAAGGGAAATCCAAATTTCTTTAGTCTAACTAAGCGCACATGCCATTATCTATCAACACAAAAACCAAAAAAAAAAACAAAAAAACACATGTCCATTTAAAGGTAGCAAAAGAATAAGCTTTATTGGTTTGATTGAGCTGTCAACATCTCAGGTGAGATCACCCCGACCCCACATGCCCCACTTTCGAAGCTGACGATTTCATGACGTTGGGCATGCATCATTGGTCTTTAAACGGGTTAAGAAAAAATTAATTTAAATTAATCCGAATACTCTTAAGCCTTAAACTAAAAGAAAATTCAGACGATTATGTGCAATATTGACCAATGCAATAGCTTAGTTGGTTAACGAGAGGAGAGGAACTCTATTGGCTGGACATAGGCGGTGCTAAGCAAGTTTTTAATTAATCAGTGCACGTGTTGTTGTGAGATCATTGCCTTCAATCTTCTCGAAAGAACTTATCCCCCAAGTGAGCATGAATCATGAATGACAGGTAAGGTTGAAGGTTGACCTTTTTTAATATCATCCAAGGGAAATGCTAACTTACAAAATGATTACTTATCAAAATCTTAATAGAAAATTATTACAAAATTGAAGGGACATAAAATCATGGTACGTGTAAATAATCACGCAGGAGCCACGTGAGGGTTTAGGCTCTGCCAAAATTAAACCAAATTGTTTAGATAGGTAGTATGATCAAGAAGAAAGATCTGGCCGCATTAAGATAAGAATTTAACAACATAATCGTTGCCTACGTTTAAAGGATTCAGTTGTATTAGTTAAATAAATCTAATAGCTCATGAGCTGAGATCAAAGAAGCGTTAGAGAAATCTTGGGAACAACCAACAGACAATCCTGAATTGAAGGAAATGTGCCATCTTCCTTCCCAGAAAGAGGGATCACTGGAGTCTATGTAAGTCAACAAGGATGAATAGTGAAAGGTATGTAGAATCCTTCCATAACACAATTCTTTTTGATTTCCATCTACTGACTTAAGCCCTGACCAAAAAAAAAAATATATATATATATATATATATATATATATATATATATATATATTAACTTAAGTATCGAAATGTCTTCAATCGAAGCACTTCGATCTAAGGTAATTTATTTGCTTTACAAGAAACTTGACTCGAGGAAGGATAATACTATTCACAAAGGATAGAATGAATTTTGTCCGTTTACAGAAATAAATGTGAAATTATAAATTATTTTGATGATGATACAACGAAATGATATCGTTTTGAATATATTTTAACATATTAAATTTGCTTATGATATTTTATAATCGATATTAATTTTTTAGTAGTAACTAAATTTTTTGGTACAATAATTTTCAATACTACACATAATTGGGTATCATAGTCATTACTAATAGAAAAACTTTAGGATGAAGAATTTGTAGGTAACCCTTTTATTATTCAACCATCAAATACAATGAATTTGTAACCAGACAATTTTGATGTCAGTTTGTTCAACCAAAGAATAAAAAAAAAAATCTCATGAAAAATACAAATTAAGAGCTAGCTATGCTAAAAAGAATACAAAAATTACAAGAATTCTTTAAAATGGTGAGTAGTTTTACAACTAGTTATATGTAAAATCAGAACTAGCTATGTAACAATAATTTATTCTACAAAAAACCCAGAAGAATCAGAAAAAATTGGTGGCTACTTGCTATACTTAGGCACTGTGAACAATTCCATTACCAGAATCCGATGAATCGCCATTGAAATCCATCATCATCATAAATTCTTGCATTTCATCTTCCCCAATAACTTCCCAGAATTCTTTTTCTTTGCTCGTTCCCATTTCAATTCCCGCCGGAATCTCATTCTTTCCTGGAAATTCTTGCCGGAGTTGTGTTTGTGGCGGCGGCGGTAGTGGCGGTGGGTGAGATAGTTGTGTGCTTTGTTGAGTGTTGATGGTGTAATCAGAAAATGCAAAATTGAGTTTAGCTCTTGGCCCTCTGAAATTAATGGCTGCCCGGTCATAAGCCCGCGCCGCGTCCACCGCCGTATCAAATGTACCGAGCCAAACACGCGCCGCCTTGCGTGGGTCTCGAATCTCCGCCGCCCATTTCCCCCACGGCCGCTGGCGAACGCCTCTATAATTCTTCTTCTTCTTCTTGATCGCAGTGTTTTCCGAGTCCTTATCATCCATAGTTGGTGGCGCGAAGAAGTTGCAACCCAAACACCCACTAATCTTGCAGAACTGACAAGTGTCTGGTTCGGAGACATAGGATGTGGTTGCGCTTTCAAATGATGGAAACAGTCGGAATTCATGGGTGGTTGTGGTGTCCATGGTGGCACCACCACCGCCGCCTGTTACTATATTTGTCAAGGCAGCTACCATAACAGAATCTTCCTGCTCTCGGGTGAGCCGTGGTGGCAGCGACGATGACGGTGGTTGGTGTGTCGGAGAAATAGGTTCGTATTTGGGTTTCTTAGACCTCTGCATTCTGAATTATGTTGGCAGGTCAACTCCACACAATTTATATCTGATAAATTGAGGTTTAAAACGAGAACTTGAAATGAGATAAAGGTGTGGTGTGGTGTGGAGTTTCGAGTTCAGATGTTTTTTTATGTTGTCTGATCAGCCGGTTTTTGGTTTGTGACATTGAGGAGAGGGAGAGAGAGAGGTCAAAGGTTATATATGGAGGGAAAGGTCCACGTGGATGATAATGTTTTGCACACTCTTCAAACACGGTGTTTGAAGGTAGTTTTGGTGGCACGTGGGATTTTTGTGGTGGGTTCACGTTGGACTGGCGGGGCCCATTGCCCAACATTTGATGAGCTGGCAGGTATGTGAGTGTGAAGAGGCGTGTTCACACGGGGTTTTTTGATGAGGCGGTGAGACAATATGACGTCATGCCTTTCAAAAGGTACTAGATGGATGGATGGATGACTTTCCATGTCTTTCAATAGGTAGGAGATGAATGGTTGCCGTTTTAAGCGTCAGCTACCGCGGGTGGCGGCTTCTCTGCCGTTAGTGGTCTAACAGCACAGTATACTGTTAAGTGGAACGGTTCTAACAGCCTTTTCAACAACGACGTCGTCTCAAGCCTTAAAATAAAATCGATTTTCATCCAACTTGCCCCAAATCAACAACCCTTCAGTCGTCTTCTTCTCAGGCAAGAACTATTGTCTTTCTCATTTTGATTCTTACTCGAATCACAGTTGTCTTCAAGCAATCTGTTGATCACAATCATCTTCGAATAATCTATCGACAACAATCATCTTCAAGAAATCAAAGTCTTAACATCAATGTAAATTTTGAAATTTAAACAGTATATATTCGAGCAATCATTCTCTCAAATTTTAATAAATTATGAACTTTTCTCATGAGTGATTATATAATCCAAATATAAGCTAACATGAAAATAGTTTTTATTGCTTGTGAACTGTACTAATTATTTAATACACAACTAATAGAAAGTCATGGAACTTACCTTCCAAAAACTCATGGAATGCTTTGCATTGTTGCTGTTCAGTACTGCTGGGATGCTCTGCAATATTGTTGTTCAATACTGCTGTGATGCTATGATTTTGAGAATGAACAGAGCGGGGGTCTATAAATTTCATAACATGTTGACTGATAAAAAGTTCATGTTTTTTTGATAAAAAGTTCATGTTAACTGATGAACAGAGCTGAGGTCTATAAATTTCAGTTAAAAAGTTCATCAGTTAAGACCCCAACAGCTCAAGTACATGATCGTCTTGAGTGACTCTTCGGCCTGTTTGAGCTGCTTGTCAGTTAAAAAGTTATAAAGAATATATTGCTGGGATTTTTGGTACCAACTTATACTAACATTTTTTTTTTTGTAGTGTCAAAGAATGGCATGGGTGAATGAAGCTTATTTGCATGGTTGGATCCTCCTTATCCTCAAGAGTTGAATAATGTACATAATGGTGGTGGAGCTGCTTTGTGATCAAAGGGCATGGGTCTTATGTATGGAGGCAAGGCTTTCCAGTTGGGCAGAGAGAATGATGCTTAGAGTAGCATAAAATGACTTGAGTCTTTTTAAAGGATTAAAGTCATTTCTTTAAACTCTTGTTCATTGATTCTTTGTAATTTTCTCATTCTTTGGTTCTTGTAATCTCCTGAATTCATGGAATAAAATTTCTCTTAATGGAACTAGTTTGATGTATTGGTGTATTGGTTGAAGATGGTTCATGATATGAGTGAATGTGTATTGGTTGGTTAAACATGGTGCTTTGGTGTATTGGTTGAACATGGTTCAGCTAATGAATGAATGTGCATTGATTGTTTGAACATTATGCATGTTGCCGCATGTCTAAGATAACAACTATATATTGAACACCATGAATCATTCATAGGTGAGATCAATTCCATGAAAAAACAAAAATGTGATCATGTATACAAGCGTTTTCAAAGGGACGACAAATCTTCTAAAACAAAAAAATAAAAGATCCACCATCTCCATAGCAAAAGAATACATTGTAAGTTCACATTTCAAAAAGATCAAAAAGAAATTGTCAAGATCAATTGCAGCAACATCATTACAGCAAGATCAATTGCAGCAACAAACCACAAACAGTTAGCCCCCAATCAGCAACTACCAAAGATAACAACATTGTAGCATCATCCAACATTGCATCAACATCATTATAGCAACATCAATTGCAGCAACAAACCACAAACAGTCAGCCCCCAATCAACAAGTAGTCTAATATAACAACTATTCATTGTCCACCTCGATTCTCCTCATTAGAATAATCAACGACGTTGTCCAAGAAGCATGATTCAACATTTACCCGAGCATTTTGAGAACTAATTGATGCTTGAGAAGACATGCTTGAGATTGAATTTGAGTGACTATAAGTTGATGCCCATGAGTAAGTAAATCCATTTATATGTGAATTATGCTCATTCGATTGAGATACCTTCAAAACAAGCATTCAAAGACGTAAGACACAATTAAAAAAAAATAAGAATCCAAAACATCAATACCTTAGACAACCACTGGTAGCAGGCTTCTTCTCAGACATTGTTTGTAGGAATGGTAACAAGCTTTTTCCCAGACATTGCTTATAGGAATGTCTCAAACAACCGCTGAAATAATGCTGCAGTTTCGTCGTACAATAATACCGCACCAAATATCATTGTCTCCCTGAACTGGTTGAATCCAATCAAAATGCCTAAGGGTCGGTACTCCTTGTTTGTTCGAAATGTTGTGTCAAATGTGACATCCCCAAAGTGATCATAATCAATAATCATCCTTGGATCAACCCAAAAAATATTTGTTATGCGCTCTTCGACATCCAATTGAACTCCATAATAAAATGATGGATTCTTAGCTGCTTCTGCTTGGAAATATTGCAACAAACTACGCGTTTTACCGTATTTCAAGTCTCGCTGTCTTCTTTCTCGAATGTAATTTTTTTGGTCTTGATGAGTGAACCCTAAGTTTTCTCTCTCACCTGCTTGGGTACTCAAAAGCTCGTAGGACGCCTTAAGTGATATCCCACAATCCTTAGCAATATCAACATCGATGCCTTGAGCTACAGTAACTTTCCATTGGGATGACATCATGTGCATACATTCCGCCAAGTGCAAAATGTGATTGTGTTGGTCTTCCCATTTAACAAAAACAAATTTTTCAATATCTCTATTGAGGGATATGCACATGTGAGTGGGGCAATTTGTTCGAGTATCTGCCCGAACCTTTATTGTTTTCCAATTCCTTTGATCTTTACTCATTTGTCCCTGTTTACAACAAACGTATTTTCTGTAAATTAGTACACCATCCTTCAAGCTCTTGTTGTGATAAGGTTTTTTCACACTGAATCCCACAGTTTCACCATAATTGTTATAGAACCTATAAGCATATTCTTCCGAGTCAAATTGCATTCTCATACATGGAGTATTGTCTGCTTTATTAATCTCAACACATTCCATCTCCACTATAGATTAGGTCTCCTATATTAAGCAAACAGTTACACAAATTAAATATAAGATCAAAAACTCAATTTTAGTAAATTAAATATAAAATCTTATGTATCAAAGCCTATATAACTCAGTTTTAACAAAGCCTAAAACACTAATATCCATATATAAAATAATCAAATATACTCACAAAAACGTAATAGAAAGAATGATGGTAGTCTCATAATTATATCAAGATTCTATAGGAAATTTTTAAAAAAAATTATGAATTTTATGAATTGGAATTTCATAAAAAAAAAAGCATATTTGATCTTAGAATTTATAAACCTTTATGCTTCTATGGTTTCTGGAATTTGATGAATCTAATTGATAAACCATATTTTGAACAAAATGCAAAGGAGAGTTTAAAGCATGTACATCAGTTTTATTGATTCTCCATATGATAAATGAGAGAGAATGATCTAAAATTGAAGAATTAATTGCATTACCAACTGTAGAGGCTATAAAAGAAGTTTTCAATTCTTAGTTGTTTCATGTATTTAGTGTTCCTCGATGCTAACTATTGACCTATGAGCAGTCAATTTGAGTTATTTTGGTGATTAATTCTAATTTTCATTGAATCTTTTAAGTCTTTCCCTAGAAATAAAGTGTTGCTGAGTATTCTCATCTGCACATCATGGATAATCGAATATTCTGTAAAAGATGATGTGGTTCTTCCTAGTCTTTAGCTGGATCATTTACATGAAAAGTGTTGTTGAATATTCTCCTCTGCACGCTATGAATGAATGAATATTCTACGTCGTTCTTGCTATTCAGCTGGATTACTTACTTGAAGCAAATTCTTCAGTTGGATTTGTAAAAAGTTTAGTTAGACCTCTGTTGGTTTTACTAATATGTCAAAGTTGATTACGTGATCCAATTGCAGCTGAAGCAAGAGCTTCTTAATGTACTTATTGTCTATGTTGCTTAATAGAGTTCAGATTTAGAATTCTGAAGAGGATGCACTGATGGCAGCTGCTTTTGTGCTTATTTCAAACCATAAAACATATAATTGGTTGTTTTTTTCTTTTGTTAATGGATCTTTGTTATGCAAGAGATTACAAACACAAAATGAAGAAATTATCTGAGAGTGTGAAATCATAGAAGACGAGGTTGAAGTGCCAATCAACCACTACAGAGAAACAAAAAGAGAGAATAGCAATGAAAATTTTGAAATTTTTGTTGGTGATTACAAGTTCTATACAGAGTTTTTTTGGAGGCTGTTTAGGCAGGGCTGGTTGTTGATTTTGGAGGGAAGGAGCAATATGTTTTTTGCATTTTGTTGATTTGTTCTGCACAAGTGGAATATGGTGGAAGACGACATCGTTGCTGTCTTTGCTGGGTGCTGAAGTCTTGGCCAAAACGGCACCGTCCCACTTAACAGCAAAGTTTGTTGTTTGACTTCCAACTGCAAAGGAGCTCCACCCCAGCTACCACAGGCCAGAAGTTTCCTTCTACTTCCAAAGGAGAAGGAAGAGATATTTTACTTCTTCCACGTCATTTTCATTCTATTTTTTTTACCATTTTTAAACTTGATTTGTCTTTTTACTATTTTAAAAGGATTACAAAAGCAAAATCATTTTTGATTTTTTCCTTTTTGGACGTGACGTTTGATTAAAAATTTAGATAAGTAACATAGATGTACTTCAATAAATAAACAATAATATATATATATATATATATATATATATATATATATATATATATATATATATATATATATATATACTGATGATATAAAATATTGAGAAATATGAGTAAGGTAATGAACTCTGAACTAAATGTATGAGCTGTAAATGAAAACAAATAAGAATGCATACATTTAGAATGGTTCATTCTATTGAAGCGTAGGAGTGTTCCATTATAAGAAAGGCTCTTGCAGCCTCTTGTTCCTTAACTGTTTATTTCTTGAAGAAGATAAGTTCAATAGAGTTTTCTCTGACTTACCTTTTTTACATAAAAAAAATACAAAATAGATTTCAAAAACCTACTTAAAAATTTGACTTGACGAATAACTATCATTAAATAGGTAGTTAATCTCAATAAATTTTTAGATTCACAATTAAATTAATAACAATCACATCATCAAGTCAAGTTTTTAAGTCTATGTAGCAATATTTTTTTACTTAATTGTCATCGTTTTTATAATAGACCTGTTAGAAAATATTTAGCCATTACAAGACCTCGTTGTATGACGTCGTCTTCTAAAAACAATAGCCCTCTATCCAAGGAGGGTATATGTGGTGAAATTCTTTTTTTTTTCTCTTTTATGTAGGCTGTTGAGAGCCAGTTTAATTGATATTGTAATATTGACCTGGACTGGTCAGCTCGACATGTAATAATTCAGAATGTTTAAACTCACAAAAATTAAATAAAATAATAAGTGTTTTCAAATACGGTATGATGCCTTAATTTTTTTTAGTTCCTATGCCACTATTTACTTACCACCTTTTTTTTTTTGCAGCAAGTACTAATGACTTTCCACCTTACTTTAACAAAGAACGACCACTTAATCTAAGGATTTGAGCATTGAAGTGTGAAGACGGGCGAATAAATGACCAATATGTGTCGTCTCCGTTGTTCACATGAAATTGAAACTACCCAGAAGAAACGATTTATTTCATTTGCAGGAATTAGAAACCTAGGGGTTTATTCTGTGCACGTGTTACCGGACCATAGCGACTAGAAGCCGATAGGCTGACCATGTACAATAGTGATCAAATGGTCACAAACCAAAAAAACAAAGAGCCAGACAGTGGCATTAAGGGATGGTATTGTGGATTAACTATGAATAGATTTTTTTTGTTCAATGGTCAGAAGTGTTCAAGTCAATTTATGCGTAACTCAAAAAATATTTTCTCCGATCCAATTAAAGATAAACCATCCACACTGAAATTAAGATATTTATGAAATATAAATTCTTTATGACATGTGAATATGATCTTGATGGAAGGTGCAATAAAATTAAGCATCACAACACTATTATCTACGAGTTTGACTCTTCCCCATATCTACATCTATTCCAATTCTCCATATTTCAATCCACATCACCAATTTATTAGATAAATACTTATATTACACCCATCTCTAATAACTTAAACATTTATATGAGATGATGTTCAATATAATATTAGAGTATAGAGACCAGACCAGAGTTTGAATTTCACTAGGTCTCCTTCCTACAAAAACAACAAAAAAACAAAACAAAAACAAACACGATGGAGAGTATCAGAAAAATACTTATGTTACACACTTCACTAACAGCTTAAGCTTTCAACTTATGTCACACACGCACAAAACTAATAAAACTCGAAAGGTTCCTTTTTTCCGTGGGTTTTTTGTTCTTGTTTTGTTGGGTGTGTTGAGAGGGAGGAGGGAGAGGGGGGGTTCAAGCAAAGAGCATGATCAAAGCGACAGAAAAAAGCGATTATAACAAATATAAAGTGAAGTTGATAGCTCTATTCATTTGCTAGAGGAGTACTACACCCGGGGACCAGAACCCAAAAGAGAAGAGATAGGGGACTTTAAGGAAATAATTATACAGGAGTAACCTAATGTTATACAGCAACATATCATCAAGCGAAACATTTGATAGCCCTACCTCCCTTTCTCTATCCCAGTGAAAGAATAAAGGTAAAAATAGAAATGCAGAAAATTTCAACCTATTCCCACTGAAGTATGAACTCTCAAGATGCAAGTCAAAGTAGCATTACCGTGCCTACTGAAGAAAAACCAAAATTTTAGCAGAACCTTCAAACTAGTCGTCATCCTCTGAATCTGTATTTGGGAAGAGAGAAAGTTGGTCAATGTTAATGCTGAAAACATAATCAATGAAAAGGGGTGCAAAAAGAAGGTACTTATGTAATCCAATTACTGAAACACTGTTGCTAGATATCATCCACACAGCTCCTATTTTAGTGTTACAAACGGGATAAATCAATATTGAGGCCATATGGCAAGCTTATGCTAAGCGAAATATGCATCCCACTCTCTCAAATATGGTATGCATCCCTCTCTTAGCATTCCATATCCATCTAATGGGAATGCAGCATCACCAGAAAAGATGATCAGTAAGAATTCTAAATATATGTTGACAGTATAATGAACTTGGAAGTTTCAGAGGCAGCTTCTCAATATTTGATTGGGTTACTTTCCGAGAAAAATATTTTTGCCGGGTTGATTAATTATCCTAATTGCTTAAATAGCAACGTGTCAAGATTCAAGACTCCCTTTTGCGAGAAGTATCAAAACCTAACAATACATCATGTGGATAACAGTTTCAGGGTTATGTGGCCTGTTTTACAACAAATCTACAAGGGTGACGGGAGTTCTTTTAATAATCTCTTTTGCCTTTTCTATTCCTGAAGAGAAAAATTAAGGGCCTGCTTTTGCAGATTCAATTCTATGTGCGCACGCATGCACACAAACACACACAGCACATTTCAAGCAATTTGGGGATAATATCTGTAACTGTTAATAATTTGCCTGGAAACAGAAAATGAATCTTAAATTTAGATATGAATTATAAGAAGTTTACCAGATCGTATATCTTCTCCAACTTTCCCTCTATTTTTCAGCTGTTTCGTGATCATTGAGTATATGAGAATCCACCAGTATATGTGGAACACAAGTAGAGTCAATAACATTGTATTGAAAACATAGTATATGAACATGTGATACACCTCCGAGAGCCTCAAGACCTCGCAGAGATAAATGCTGAAAAATACCAACCACATAATTAATATGGGAACAAAAACAAGCTATTGCAATCGTTAGTGAAACAAAACATCTACTTGGAGGACAAACCTTGAGGATTTTATGGCCAAAAAGGGAAACAATATCAGCCTCAGAATAAACCATGAAATAGCAAACAATCCGAAGCAGACGCTTGCTCCAAGCTCCTTCTCAGAATATTTAAAAACTTTAGCAGCTTCAAGAAATACATCACTGCCATCATGCAATGCTAGGATAACTGACCCTATCCGGAAGAACCTGCATGAAAATGAACTGATTTGTTACTCCTCCAAAGCATATATTTCATCTCAATATTTATCAAACTAGTTCAAGCCTAAACATAAATAAGATACTTGAGGGTGAGTGTACTTAAAAGCATTCTACTGGCCGAGTTTTCTCCATATAGAGATACCCAAATTATGGCATATACCAATGAGTGAGCTGCCTAGAAGTTTCAACTTCGGAGTCCTTGAAACGGTGCTGTTTCACATAGCCTTAGCTTCACCATATTCTTTACTTTCACTTCATTAAGTCCATGAATTTCTATAAAAATATAAAGAGACGCAGAGTTTGGATGTCAAGCTAATAACACCAAGACTAAAATAAGCACCATTAGAACACGTTATTACAAGCAATCTACCAACCATAAAATAAGAGATTGAGCAAGAAAAAGTAATATTCATAGAAAACAGAAATAGCCTGCAAGCAATGCCATACTGCCTGAAGACGATGTTCCCTAGTCTGCCATTGTTTTAACTGGACCATTGCAGTCTGAAATAAGTACGACAGTTTCAACATTGAGAAGATCAGAGTGCCAGTATTCCAATAAAAGCTAGCAATGGCTGTACTTCCCACTAAGGACTTCAAAATTTGTCTCAACCGTTGAATCAAGCAAAACCACCAGAAGTTCTACAATTAGCTCTAGCAATTACTCTGTTCTTCTTCCTCATCCACTTGAGAAACTTCCATGTTATGCATATAAAAAATTGAAGGGGCTAGGAGTTGATGTATACACTACTTTTTGCTTTTGAGTAACCTACCTATGTCTTAGAAATCCACACTTCACCTTCTTAAAGTTTAGAACTAAAGTGCAACAGCTAAGGGGTCAAAAATTTGATATTAAAAGACAATAACGTCATTCATTTTTTTAATTTTTTTAGCGTCTTTTCTGCTTGTTTTACAATTTGAAAATCTTCAACTTAATACACAAAGAGGAGAGGAAGAGATTGGTTTATTTGAAACAGAAAAAATAGAAGATATCAAATACATATAAGAGTATAAAATTCTTTTTGACATGATAGTTTATTAAAAATTTTGATCATCAATTTTTAAAGAAATTTTAATGGTGACACTTTCGTCCAAAACTATAAGAAGATCAAGTGCAGCTTTCCAAACCATGTGGAAGTAAAGTGTCACTAACTCAAACCACAAGGGGGTAAAACATAATTTACTAGTTCAAAACAGAAGGTAAAGAAAAATTGTACATTAAATGTAAAAATACCTTGTCATGTACGAGTACGCAATCAGGAAAACAGTGATGAGATGATGAGACATCATTACCGAGAAATCTTTTCTTCGAGTTTCCCATATAAGGAGTGCACCGATGCTATAGACATAGAATCCACATTGGCACATATATATGAGTTTTAGGGAAAGCCTGAAATGAAAAATGCAACTGGTCATTTCAACTCCATCAATTTGGAGCTTAGGACTCAAATAACTTTTTTCAATAAGAAGAACTCAAATAAATTAAGAGGCATGCTTAAACTACAGTTATTTGATATGTCAGTTTGCTGAACCATTGCAGGCCTATCAGAAAGAAATGCCAGTCAAACAACTTCCCTATGCAATGAGAACAGAGAAAAGTCAAAAATAAAATCACCTGAATATCACATCCTTTGGAGACGTAAGCTAAAACTTGTTTTCCACTATAACAATTGCATTTCAGTCCAAGAAAGTTAAAAAGGCAACCCATCAAGAACCACACCATCTTTTAATCAAAGCAATTACAAATACACTATCTGACAAACCAATGTTTCACAATAACTTCTTCAGTATAAGAGAAATGAATATCTTAAATTCGAGGAGATGAAAACCAGGTAAAAATGCCTGCAAATAAGTAGTAGAATGGATGGAGATACCAACATGATGATAACCACAGACCATGTCTGAGAAAGACCAATAAGAAGGGCACGATGAATGCTTCCTTTAGATTAAATCCATATGGTTTGGACTAGCTATGGACCAAGAAACAAATGTTCTGGCATTCGCTTTCTGCCAACCTTTGACCCCAAAGTAGTTGTTAAAACAACTTTGTATACCTAATTTTACCTAAAAAATTTAAACTCTCTGAGATATACAGAGTAGGGGTGCAACTTGGGTTGGGTAACCCGATTTCAACCCAAGCCCAACCCGAAAAAATTAGGGCTTGAACAAGGGTTTTTAATACTTGGGTTGGGCTTGGGTCAAAAAACCTCAACCCCAATTCAATTTGGGTTGGACTCGGGTTAAGGCCTCGTGAACCCGAATTCAACCCGAACCCGACAAATTAAAAAAAGAAATTATATATATATATATATATATATATATAAAACATTAGCACTGATTTTTCATTTTTGTTCTGTCGTTCTCTATCTCTCTCGTTTTCTTTGCCTCTCTCGTTCTCTCAGCCTCTCTCGTTAAAAACTTGGTTGAAGTTATTGGTTGTTAATTTAGATGAATATTATGTAATATATGTATTAGATTTAGAATAATAAGTCTATTTTAGACTCTACCTGAATTGAACCCGTAAAGTAACCCGAAATCAGCACGAAATCATTAACCCGAGCCCGCCCGAATTAAACTCAGGCAGTGCTCGGGTTGAGTTTCCCAACCCAAGGTAGGGTTAGGATTAGGGTTGAAGATTATATACCTAAGGTTGGGCTAGAGTTGATTGTCCAACCTGCCCAAGTTGCACCCCTAATACAGAGGACTATCTTCAGAAACGTTAGAAAGCACAATGCCCCAGCATAGAAAATGCTTTGATCAGAGCTTGAAGATCTCAGGAAACAACACCAACGGGCAGATGAAACAAATTTTATAAGACCGTCACAATCCACAATTATCAGAAACTGATATAATAGTTCTCACAGAAAAAAAAAAGATTGAGAAAATACTTTGACTTGTCTACAAAAATCTAAGTATGTTACCCATCAAAAGAAAGCCAACTAGAATTGGTGTCCCTGGCAATAGAAGATTGTATACCTCACTAAAAAAAGATATCAAGTGTAGAGTAACAAATGGAACAGTGAGTCAAAGCCCATTTGTACAATATTTACCATATAGGCCATATCCAAGGCACATACTTCCAATGGAAACTCAATATTCAAAAAGTAAAATTTTGATATTCTAATATTAACTCCCGTGATACATGAACACATAACACGACCCTGTTACGCAATGCCATGGGCAAATATAGAATGAAGAGACTTAAGGAGTATTGCAATAATCAGAAAGTTAACATAACATCACAATGCTGATGTTGCTAATTAGATTAAGCTCATCATATCAAGGATTAGCAAGTCACATGTAAACAGTTCTTTGTGTTACTGTAGACATCCAACAGATTCATTTACCAAACAAATAATTGGACAAAGTTCACGACTCACCTGAACTCTTGATCTGGCCAGCCTCTGAAATATTCTTTTGTATCTCTGAACCATGGCTCATGATAAGTGATCGTAAGAACACATACTTCCACAGTGGCATAGTACATTAACTTCCACATAGACTCCGAACATTTTGCAATCTTTGCTCTTGTAGCTTTATTTAACTTCAGTGGAATGGTTCCCTTGCTCAAAAACCAAAAGGCCAGCCTCTGAAAAACATATCAAGATGACCAAGGAAATTATATATTGATCAAAATATAGAAAACTATGCTACCTTTCCCCTTTTCTCTTCAAAAATTTTTTTTGGGTAAATACTCTTCAAAATAAGTTGCTTTTAGTAGAGATATATATAAACTCAAATCTTCGTAATCTCAAACCTTCGTACTTTGCTCCAGAATTCCAATGGTTTCAATGAAAACCAAGAATATTTTCTTTCTTCTACTAAGTGAAATTTGATACAAGGCACCAGACATCAGGTGCAAAACACGCAAAAGCCATGTACGCAAATCAAGCCTTTTAAAAAATAAACCAAAAATGGCTCACAAAAAAAGGCCCCAGAAAATAGTTAAAATGATGACAATTCAGATTCTGGTACTACTTTTGTGGGTCCTCCCTGGAAATTCTTGCAAAAAAGCTCAATAAAACATGATTCCATTGTAATTTTATGATGTTTTAAGTTTTTCAGAACAAAACCAGTAGCAAACAGGACCGAACTACATTTGTTTCATATTATAGACGCCAGAGCAGGTGCTCCATTACATTTGGAGATAATAAACACTCTGATCCCCATGACAGCATAGTTCAATGGAGACATTTTAATGCAAATAAGTCCGGAATCCTTGAAATACACTACACTTCATGATTCAATACGCATTTTGGACATCTTTTTGGAGATACAAATGTAAGCCAATAATAGCATCATTCTATGAAGAGAAAGAAAACTTTATACGTTCAGAAATGTGCAAGTTGTCCTAAATCAACATGTTACCTCATTACTCAAATCAAAAGTAGATAATCTAATAAGTGGCCAGCCGACAATCTCAATGTATTTTAAGGGCCATATTGAATGCCTTGGAGCTAATTTGAAAAGAAAAATAAAATTAAGGACGGAAGGAACACCCCCCCCACCCCCACCCCCCCCCAAAAAAAAAAAAATTCAAGATTTAAGAAAAATATCTCCATAAAAGATGGACGAACGAAGAAATAAAAAGATATACTACATACAACAAACATCATCCACCCACATCTTCAGCTTGAAACCATGAGGGAATGAGGCTTATTTTTGCAAAATACAATCCTTTGATGAATAATGGGGATATGAAAAAGAAATGATCACCATCAGATCACTGTCTGGGGAGAAATGGAGGCTTGTTAGGCAAAAATGAAAGCATCTAAATTTTGAAACTGATATTTCTTCCAAGAAGCAGTCTAGCAGGACTAGCAGCACAATTAGTGGATATACACAGTATATGCAGAGAATAAGGATTTATTTTCTAAGAATGCAGAGCTTGAAGACACACAGTGTACACATATTACTTTCTGAAAGTACATGGCTTGAAGACACATTTACCGTATCAATAAGACAACAATCAGCAACGTATTTAATGACTCGGGCCATCGTACCCAGAGTAATACTTAAGACCACACGTTTACCAAATGCCCTCTACTGCTCTTCGGCCAAACAATCAGATAAGAGTTTGCCAACCACCACTATTCACAGTTTACAATTCAAATGCTGAAGAGTGTTTTGTGGGTTTTCCATTATCTAACAAAGCTAACACTTCACCTCCAGACCATATGAAGTGGGAATATGTACTCTATGCAATATACTATACGAACTACTGTCAACTTAATGAGCATCAACTCAAAGAGCCATAAGACAAGTCCCAACAAACCTGGCCGTAAATAACTATATACGACTATAAATGAGTAAGCATGGCATGGATTCTCCCTTCCCTGCCCCAAGCCCCCATTCTCCCCAAGAAGAAGAGTGATTAAAGAAAAAGAAAAGATACACAAAGAAACAGTGACAGCAACAAATTGGACGTATATTCTGTACTTGTAATAAATAACAAGATGGATAAAGAAAGACAATTGACGTATTTGATGACCTATTTGTTAAAAAGGAAGGCCGGAAAGTAGAGCCAACATTTTCCATATAATTCAACCAAATGAATTGGAGAAGCACATTTGGAGAATCGTGAGACCATATGATCTCTATTAGGACAAAGGTGATACCTTTTAAGATGACGACATATTTATGGTACTCTGTAGTCCTTACTGTCAGAAGATAAGGAAACAAAACGTAATATATATATAACTGAATGAAAATGGAAAAATGAGCGAAACAGCAGTAACAGAAAATTAGATAAGTGAAATTGAAAAGCTTGCACCATTCTAGAGAAGGTGACAGAAGCTGTAAGAAATCTTTTTATTATGCCTAATGATGGTCAATGAATGTGCCACCACAAAAACTTCTTACAAATTCTCAATATATTTCTGTAACAAGATTAAGAAGACCACATATATTAGACCATAAATGCAACTAATATGTCATGATGACCTGTAATTTACGAAGAATATGGGCCCAGATAGAAGTTAAAGGAAGGGTAGGATTCAAGACACAGCCCTGAACAGCAGGGAATCAGGGCTTAGTTGGATTACATTAATATCAACTTATTAAGTAGTCATAGTCAACTTATGTAAAAGTAGGTGACAAAGAGCAACAAATAAAACATCTTAGCCTCAAGGTAACGAATTTCAGGTATTGGTAATCAATGCTGGACATGCTGTCTTTTACACCTCTTTCCTCTTTGAAATAAAATATCTGGCACTAAAACAGGAGGAATCCATTCCGGTGCTCCTTCTCATACTATAGCAAACCATAAGTCAATCAGCCAGATTCACCAAGTTTTGCAAAAAATGATTACATCAAAGATTAGTTATAAACAAAAACAACAATGGGTGTTTATGCCCTTTTTTTCCTGTTACACTGAGACACGAGTGTAAAACTTCAGTATAAAATATATCTCCAATAAGTGATTACCCATTCTGCAATTCAAATACCAAAAACCTAATTTTAGGGACACCAACAATCAATTTGTTACATCAGTGTTATGACCCTTATGGGACAAGAATATTCTCAAAGAAAACACACCAATATTTACATTGGAATATTCCTTGATTAAGCTAGCCATAAAGCATTCTGCTTCATCGCTAAACCTATATTTTACAACTCCAATGAACCAATGTAGAGTATCCAGCAATGTGGAGGATTTCTATCTTTTTCTGGTGTCATTGCACATTTCATACTCATTATTTTAGTGCTTCAGAGACCTTTTAGTTGACAAACCAACTTAACAATTCTATAGGAGCCATTCTTTCTGGACGCCGTGCATTGCCAGTGCCACAATCAGCTTCTCCTAAATTCCTGAAAATCATTAATTATTTGACAGAAAAAATCAATGACACTGACGTGATTGATAATTTATCCATAACTGAAATCTCAATGAGCTTAGCTTAAGTGGTAGATGCACCTCCAATGCACAAGTTAGATTCCGCTCGTCAGAGTGGCTGCATCATCCTTGATCCACATCAATAGTGATTAAAAATGATCATTGAAGCTTTGTTTGGGGCACGTAACAAAATAGAATCGAGGTCGTGGGACTTTTACTGGTCAAATTTTATGAATTTACTCGCATAACACTGCTTTATCCATTTCTTTGGAAATATTATGCGCTTCTATCTTCGAAAAAATCTTCTTTGCTTAAGATATTCACCTTTGTTTACATTTCTAGGAACCAGTTCAGCTGTCTTAGCTGCAGAGTGCAGCTTTAAAATATCGCCATAACACAGGCTGGCATTAAAGAATTCACAGCCTCTTTATAGATTTTTAAGAACCTGCCTGATTCTTCAGGCAAGAAATGGATCTCCACTGTAAGGCAACTACAAGAACACAGCACGAAAAGTGAGTGCAAGTGATATGACACAACACAACTATGTTATGCAAAATAACCAACTCTAACATTCTCCCGATTATCTCATTTTTAGTTTCCTTGTGGATGACCATGGTTCGACCTTATTCTTTGAGCACATTTGGTGTATTGTTGCTGGTGTGTGTATATGTGTATTTTCCTCTCACTGGGCCAACCAGTATATATATGTCCACTTATATACAAGTCGGCTTTGCCTATCAACAAAAAAAAAAAAAATGCATATATATATCCTAAACAGGTCCTCGATTATTTCTCGAATCAGATTCCAGCATTAACAACATAACAAGACCTAGCGACAGCTACATTAAGTGTAGCATGTACATAAAAGGGAAATCAAAATATTCACATAGTTAAGCACACAATAAGTACTGCAAACACACTAAAGACTTCGAAAATTACTAAATCATTGAATAATTCTCACTTGTCTCTCCTTTTCTATAAAGTGTGTGCATATCTGCATTATCTTTAAAATTTTCATGCAAGCAAGGAGGATTCTCACATGTCTCTCCTCTTCCTTTTAGAGCATATTTAGTGTATTGTTACCGCTGTGTGTATGTGTATTACTTCGTTTCAAAGGGCCAACCAGTAGATATATGTTCACTTATACTATACAGTTTACTTAACAATAAGTATATCAATTGGCAAATATAGCAATGCCTATCAACAAAAATAAAGAAATAATGCATTTATATAGCAAGAAATGCTAAACAGTTCCTCAATTATTTCTCAAATCTAATTCATGCATCAATAACATAACAAGACCTAGCGAATGCTACATTAAGTGTAGCATGCACATGAAAAAAGAAATCATTATATTCATATATTTAAAGCACACAATAACGACTGCAAATACACTAAAGACTTCAAAAATTACAAAATCATTGAAGCGTCTCTCTTTTTCTTTTGCTAGAATATAAAGTGTGCACTGTAACAGGTAGAAATCGCTACGAGATTTCAGCCCTCCACTCGAAAGATTCCGGCTCACCTGACGGCACCAAACCCCGGTAGTCTTTACCTCTCTCCGGCCCACAGGAGCTTGTCCCACATCAGAAGAGAGTCGTCTCGCCCCCTCGCATATAAGTCCTATAAGTCCTTGCACTAAAAGGAGGAGGTACCCACTAACTACTCTTAGGCCACTTTCGGCCCTCACAACCTGTTCCAAGTAATAAAATTGACCAATCGATTGACGGACTAGTGTTCACCACGGAAGAGATCTGTTCTCGTGTTTATACAGTACAAGATCGTGCACGCACATGTGCATATCTGCGTTACTTTAAAAAAATCTCACACAGTTAAGCAGGCAATGAGGATTTGCAAATATAGTATGAAATTTCAAACGAAGTTCGTCATCAGTATCTCCCCAATCTAAGATTCAAGGAAAGAACAACACAGTATAATACGAATCTTAATGTTAAAACGTTGTGTGATTTATATAACAAGAACCTTACACGAAAGATGAATCTGTCAAGCAAGACCCTAGCGGCAACGAAACCGAAGGCGAAAAATACAGCGACGAGGAAATGTGAAGCGCTTGGAAAGCCATTGTGACTCCAGATCAAGTCCATGAGAGGATTTCGCAGAGACGCATCAATCAACTGATCAAACCACGTCTAAATTGCACTGTTGAACATTACACGATAAAGATATGCCCTAGTTTTCTGTGTGATGTTTAGAAAGAGGTTTAGAGAGTACTAGGACAGAGAGCGAGAGAGAGAGGGTGCCGGGGGGGGGAGGGAGGGAATGTACAGGGAGAGTAAAAAAGAAAAGGAATGTAAAGGTGGAAATATTGCGTACGTGCGTGTGCATAGGTGCTTGTGCTGCTGGCGTGTTTGCATTTATGCTTACAACAGTAAAGTGTGGGCATGTGGGCCCCAATACACCGTATCTGACCGTTGACACGCAAGTGACAGAAGTGGGTCCACAAAGAGTTTGACCCCACGGGATTGGGATCAAGTACCAAGGGCAGGGGATCAAACTTTTTTTCCTGTTAGTAAATTTCTGTAGAAGTCCCGAAGCAACATGCAGATATCCGATTCATTGTTTCGTAACAGCATAGCCACGGATTTTCGGAATCGAAATTAAGGTTTATTTCTTAAATAATAAATTTAGCTTCATTAAATTATCATCACTGCAAAAATTCGAACTTAAACATTAAGTGAGACGATTTGAATTCTTATCTACCTATCAGTGGATGATTAAGAATCATGTTTCTTCCATCTAACATATTGAAAAACCGTTTGATATTAAAATTTTCCTATCTCTTTTTATTTAATGATAATAATGTTACACATATAAAATTATATTACTTTATTATATATTATTATGTTATTATTATTAAATGCAAGTGATTGATATCAAAATTAATGATTAAAATAATTTTTGCAGTTTACTCTTTTTGCATTACATAAAAAGTTATGGGACCTTCTTGATCAACTTGCCGAACATTGCTGTCATTTTCTGCCGCAAGTATGAAGGGATCAACAATGGTGGGCTGCATAGATTGTTTTTTCTTTGATCTTTCCTTTTCTTCCATCTTTTCTTTCTAACCAAAAATATGCTTAAGTGCATATTATTTTAATCCATACTCATAATTTTAATGTATATAAAAATGTTTATTATCCTCCGCTCTCTATAACGACATTATCACATAAATGTGATATGAATGATAACCCGTCAAACCAACTTAAAGTTAGTCCATCTTTGTCAAATAAAGTTGACAATAACGACAAATTGTCAGGAGATAAATCTCTCTCTATTACTCAAAGATCTTTGACTTTGTCTCTATATATAAAGCTTAATTTTTCATTTTTCCTTATGAAATTAATGATTTCAGACAAATCAGGAAACATTTAGTCCAATTTTGGGAAGATTACCCGCTTGAGTTTAAAAGAAACATCGTAGCGGAATGTCTCAAAGACATTGATAAAGAAGAAGATAAATCTTCAACTGATAAAGCTTCATCTTCCACATCCATAGCTCCCTTTACCAGTATAAATACTGGGACTAATTTAAATCATGTGGAAGTTCTTAAATAACTAATTAAAAAAGAAAATTCACATTTAAATCCTGAGCAGCTTAAAGCAGCGATTTATGGAGGAATTGATTTTCATATCATGTCTACTTTTGGCATGAACAAAACAGAAAATATGCATCTCGTTCATCCTCCTACAGTTGCCATAAAAGGCAAAGGGAAAGATAAAGTTGAGAAAAATAATAGAAAATCTCCTACTCCTATTAATTCTGATGACGAATTTATGAATTTTCAGGGATATACCCCTCTTAAAGGTGATATTGAAATTAACAAAGATTAGTTAAATGTTGATATGGAGGTAAATCTTCATGATGACAGAGATAATGTACTGTCTACTTTATTGTTCAGAAAATAATCAGATAAAACTGATTTCTCGGATAAAGTCGACCCAGAAGTAGTGACGCACGCCCTAACGTCACTACGAAGAAGTAACGTATGCCCTTACGTCACTTTAAAGACTGTTAATAGTGTACAGTAAAAAGTGTACAATATTTATGACGTATGTAATGACGTCATTGTAAATTATTAAAGTTAGAAATAATATAAAGTTGTGAATAATATTTTTTATTTTAAAATCCGAATTTCATGTCCGGATCTATAAATAGGGGTGCAAGGCCGACTTGTAGAGCACTGCCCCGAGACCACTCCCATACCTCTTCTCTTCTATCTCACCCACTTCTCTACCAACTCCCTTGACCATCTCTTTCTTTCTTTCCCTCTTGCACCCTCGGTGAATCCTTTTCTTGTATAAACCTTTCTTCTTTCACCTTCTACTCTACTATTGTAAGTAGACTCTACTCTATAAATACACTTTTGATTTAAATAAAAGTTTCTCTATTTTGTAGATACAACGATCCTTCCTTTTTCTGGTATCGGAGCCTTTAAGACTTTTCATTCAGTTAATAGTTGTAAAATATATCTATTTTGATCAAAAGGAATAGTCATTTCAATCGTTTTAATAGTAAAGCTCGATTTAAAATTAAAAGTGTCAATATTATAGATTTTCTTAGTTGGGTATTGGGGTATATCTCAGTTCTGTAATTTATTTTCAATATCAGAAAATTCTATCTCTCCCATATTTTTAACATAGTCATCTTTATGATTAAATTTAAATTTAAATAGGTTTAAAGTCATAGTGGTATCTCAAAGTTGTTATGTTGACTTATATGTTTAACTATTACCTTCTTCTAGTTGCTACTGTAATTCATCTTTTAATTTTATTACAGTACTGCTATTATAACAATTGCTACCATAATCCTGAAATAATAATGTTCTCAGCATCCTATCGTGAGCTAAACTTGTTTTAGTGAATTTTTCCAAAATCTTATTCTGTCAACGATACCGGACCTAAAAACTTGCCAACAAATGCCTATCAATCACACGACTAAAATGGCCTAACATCCCACACGCTACCAGTCATAGAACTTTACAGGTAAAAATTTCATGCAAACACGAATTCAACAAACAATAAAAGCCTTAAATGAAACATCATTATCACAAGATTATTTTCACAATTTCAAAGTAAGAATAATCTAACATAATTAAATCACAATTACATAAGTAACAAGAATTAATAATAGATCTGTATATAAATCAACAGAATAAACTTAAGCTACCATTCACTTGGCTCTGATACAAGAAAGGGGGAGGATCGTTGTATCTACAAAATAGAGAAACTTTTATTTAAATCAAAAGTGTATTTACAGAGTAGAGTCTACTTACAGTAGTAGAGTAGAAGCTGAAAGAAGGAAGGTTTATACAAGAAAAGGGTTCATCGAGAGTGCAAGAAGGAAAAAAAGAAGGAGATGGTCAAGGGAGTTGGTAGAGAAGTCGGTGAGATAGAAGATAAGAGGTATGAGAATGGTCTGGGGGCGGTGCTCCACAAGTCGGGCCTGCACCCCTATTTATAGAGCCGGACATAAAATCCGGATTTCAAAATAAAAAATACTATTCACAACTTTATACTGTTCATAACTTTAATAATTTACAATGACGTCATTGCATACGTCATAAATATTGTACACTTTTTATTGTACATTATTCACAGTCTTTAAAATGACGTAAAAGCGTGCGTCACTGCTTAGTGAGGTCAAGACGTGCATCACTGCTTTCGGGTTAGCTTTATCTGAGAAATCAATTTTATCTGATTATTTTTTGAACAATAAAGTAGACAGTACATTATGTCCGTCATCATGGAGATTTATCTTCATATCAACATTTAACAAATCTTTGTTAATTTCAATATCACCTTTAAGAGGGGTATATTCCTGAGAATCCATAAAGTCGTCATCAGAATTAATAGGAGTGAAAAATTTCCTATTATCTTCCTCAACTTTATCTTTCCCTTCCCCTTTTATGACAACGGTAGGAGAATGAACGAAATGCATCTTTTATGTTTTGCTCATACCAAAAATAGACATGATCTAAAAATCAAATTCCTCCATAACCGCTGCTTTAAGCTGCTCAAGATTTAAGCCAAAAAGGGGGAGGATCGTTGTATCTACAAAATAGAGAAATTTTTATTTAAATCAAAAGTGTATTTACAGAGTAGAGTTTACTTATAGTAGGAGAATAAAAGGTGAAAGAAGGAAGATTTATACAAGAAAAGGGTTCACCAAGGGTGCAAGAGGAAAATAAAGAAGGAGATGGTAAAGGGACTTGGTAGAGAAGTGGGTGAGATAGAAGAGAAAAGGTATGAGAGTGGTCTGGGGGCAGTGCTCCACAAGTCGGGCCTGCACCCCTACTTATAGAGCCGAACATGAAATCCGAATTTTAAAATAAAAAATACTATTCACAACTTTAAACTGTTCCTAACATTAATAATTTACAATGACGTCATTGCATATGTCATAAATATTGTACATTCTTCATAGTCTTTAAAGTGACGTAAGGGCATACGTCACTTCTTCGTAGTGACGTTAGGGCGTGCGTCACTGCTTTCGGGTCAGCTTTATCCGATAAATCAACTTTATCTGATTATTTTTTGAACAATAAAATAGACAGTATATTATCTCTGTCATCATGGAGATTTATCTCCATATCAACATTTAACAAATCTTTGTTAATTTTAATATCACCTTTAAGAGGGGTATATCACTGGGAATCCATAAAGTCGTTATCAGAATTAATATGAGTAGGATATTTCTTATTATCTTCCTCAACTTTATCTTTCTCTTTATCTTTTATGGCAATTGTAGGAGAATGAACGAGATGTATCTTTTATGTTTTGCTCATGCCAAAAGTAGACATAATTTGAAAATCAAATTCCTCCATAACCGCTGCTTTAAGCTGCTCAGGATTTAAATAAAGTTCTTCTTTTTTATTTAGTTTTTTAAGAATTTCCACATGATTTAAATTAGTTCCAGTATTTATAATGGTAAAGGGAACTATGAACGTGGAAGATGAAGCTTTATCAGTTGACGATTTATCTTCTTTTTTATCAATGTCTTTGAGACATTCCGCTACGATGTTTCTTTTAAACTCAAGTGAGTAATCTTCCCAAAATTTGACTAAAAGTTTCTTGATTTGTCTGGA